GCTGAATGATATTTGCAATCGGTGAGTAGTGGGGAATTGCAACGGCCTAATGTATAGCATGTGCAAGTTTCATCCACTTGCAGGTCCTTGCGAAATACGTGCTCACCTTCGGGCGACCAGTGGTCCCACTGGAAAAATTCAGAAAGGCCACCTTAGTTTTCCCTTCACCAGGAGCAAGTTTCCGTTCCGTGAAGTTTGGAACACTCGCAAGACCTTGCGAAACCAAAGCTTGCACAGTCAATTTCTGCGCGGTATCCGCATCCTCGACGTCAAAAAGAATGATGCGATCAGTGGATACACCAGCGGCATGTGCAGACGACAGGGCCACTTTGAGCGAGTCCGGGTGCGTGATAACTACGGCTGCTTTTACTGTATTGATTTGATATACAAGTTCGTCGACTGTAAATAGCGGGTTGGCACCGCTTGTGGGTGTGTTTCAGGATGTTTTAGGCGACTTAGAGGAATTGAGCATACGATACGGCAGCACCAAGTCTGTGAGCCGCCCAAGCAGCCACAAGGTAATCTACAGAATTCATACTGTCAAACCAGATATACACTGCGTGTGGCGAAGCTAGCTCGCATACCAGTATGATTTGGACTGTAGATCAACACTATCAGGCGCGCAGAATGAGGGAATCATCAATATTTGCAAGTGCTTGAATTATAGTGTCATTACCAACATCGTCCTCCTCTATGCGGAGCCAGAGGAGTCAGTATACACCGGTCAGTATTATGAAAATGTAAAGAACGGACGGATGTTATAGCGGATACTCAACGCATTAGCCAGACCATACGTCCGAGTTCTGAGCTGTGAAGTATACGATTAGTCGTGGCAACCATCGACCGGAACAGCAGATAACGTTAACCCCAAATCAATTTTTGCACATTACCCAGCAAATAATTGCTGACTACACTCACCTCCTCAAGTCCGATCTTTCTCCCACTCTGGTCATCAATAATCCAGGCATCATTCTTACGAACGGGCTTCCTGACATGTTCTGCATCCAATATGAACTGCGCAAGCGTGAGGTCGTCGGGTATGTGAGGGAGGATTCCTGCGGGCGACACGACTTCAGCCATTCTCTATTTACCCAGGTTAATTCAAAAAGGCAAGAACAAAAGCAAGGAACGTTCTGTAATGGAAATTCTCATGCGTGTTTTTATACCTCAACATCACCTCACCTCACATCTTATCTTTTTCCTTTTCCGTCACTGATTACACCGTCGCTCGCCGAAAACCTATTGAACTGTGGCGAACCTGCCCGATCAAATGCCATTCACAAGTACAACATAAGGATGGCTTTCTCACCAAGTGTGTATGTATTGCTGTTATTTTATAATCAATACTTGTTTCGAAATGATTTCAATATAACGAATTCATTGCGCCAGAAGAGCGTCTGCAGCTTTCTACATCCGAAGATATCCAATCTGTGGGATCATATCAAGCGTTCATTTCAGTGGTTTTGCAGATTTGAATGATCACAGGCTCAGTTTTGAGTCCGAAGGTTGATGCTACCAACGTAAATTGCGAAATCTGCTTATCAAAGTGTATCATCTTCTTCACGATTTGATGCTCACTAGTTTCGGATATTCTCAGCTCCAACATTCCTCGATTAACCTTCCCTCCCTCTCCATCGCAGCAACATACTCCACAGCCTCAGCATTCGACCTTCCTCCGAACCTCTCCACTGCACCTCGCACAGCTTCACGGACGGCATTGGGCATTTTGTTCGAAGAACTATCATAAAGGCTTAGAGTTCACCACGTGTTACATATAATCTGGACCCACCCTGAGATGATAAGGATGCCTCGTTGCTGCCCCAGCATTGTCCAAATATACTGTGCATCCTCTTTCATCAGATCTTGCACATACGTCCGTTTGACGCCCTCTGGTCCATCACGAGAACACGCAACGCGGTAGCGGATTTTTCGTTCTTCCGCATGAGATTCCCATTCCTTGTGATAATGCTGATCCTTGTGTGCAGAACGGCAACCGAAGTATAAGGTAGTATCTGGGGTCATCAAGGATCAACTCTGAGCTGATATAAAAAGACAGCCAACATACTAGTGTGTCCTTTGTGTATGCGTTGTTCAATGACAGCACGCATGGGTGCGATGCCTGTCCCTGGACCCACACACACCACTGGTGTGTTTGGATCTGTAGGAAGTGAAATGAAGCCCTTTCTGAGACCGATACGAAGAGTATCTCCTGGAAATGATATGAGTTCAGCAACTACGCTAGAACGCCATGCGGACCTAATTTGAGCCCTGATAGATAACTAGTACAGACGCCTTTTCGATGAATTTTCAACTTTGTGCGATAGCGCACTATAGCAACGCAGAGATGGATTTCACGGGGATGGAACTGATAAAACCCAGAGGTGAATTGAACTGCAGTGAACGCATTCTAACTCGAGCTCACCTCGATAGAACTAGCAATTGAGAACTCTCTCGGTCTCAGCGGAGGGAACAAGTCAAAGACATACTCTCTCGGTATCCTTGCGGACCGGAACTCGGACAACACTTCCCAGATCGTACGTTTCACGCGTTGACAATAATCATACATTTCGTCCTGCACGTCTTCAATAAAAGAAAGAAAAATGAGGAAACTCGACGTACCGCTCCTTCTATCGATACAAATTCATCAAGTTTTTCGCGTTCGAGCTCATCGATAGCAAAATATCGCAGCAGTTGGAAAAAGGAGCGACGGGGCACAGCATTGTAATTGAGATAGCGTGTGAATAGAATTCGAAGGGAAACAATTTTCGGTAGATGGTCGGGCAACGTTTGATCTGTAAGATGTCAGATGAGGTTTACTGGGTCCTGGTTTGTCGTACCTAACATTGTATGTTCAACTGTGAAGAAATTATCGGCAACATTTGCCCAGCCCATGGTGACAAGGAAAGAGTCGACTTCTGATGCAGGTGCAGACGGATGAATCACAGCAACATCTCCAGGATTATATCTGAGTTTTCCCATCAGTAGCCGCAAATTCCAAAGGCAAAGACTCGTACTTTATATCGTCTTCGAAGGAGAACTCGAAATGGCGTACGTCCTGAAACCAATCTTCCGCAGTGATCCGTCTGTTACATTTCACCGAAGCTGTATGAAACTTCGTGTCCTCATCTAGAGGATCCGGATCCAGCGACGTATCAGATCCCACATTGCTCAAGGATACGCGAGGTGGTGGTCGACCAGCAGGAATATTATCTTGCTCGTGCGGTAGTGGGTAGAGCTGTGTGAGAACTTCTAGGAGACATTCGATCCATGGATCCAATGCACCGTCTACCCTGCACTTTGATCAGCCACGCGAAACATAGTAAACAAAGAATACACACCCCATGCGATGCTGTTCATCTCCTTCTCCTCGTGAGCAAATTTCATACCCTCCCAAACTCTGCATCCTTCTCGATAACTTCTTCGCCGGCCAACAAAATTTCTCGTAGGCCGTGTCTCCAAGGCCGAACACGCAAAAATCCATATCCTCGAATAGGTCATTTGGGAGATCGGACCTCAACAACATGTTCCATAATGAACTCATGGCTCTGGGTTCAGCTCCCCAGCCAGTGGTCGAAACCACGAAGATGACCAAGTGTTCCGAAATCAATGTTTCCTGCACAGGACCTGAATATTATGTTACAACGATTAGGAAGCCGCCTACTGGTGGATACGCATCCATGCTCTGCACACGACAGTGAAAATGGACTCTTCGACATTCTCTCGCAATGCGATCAGCAGTCTCTTGAGCTGTACCTGTTTCCGTAGCGTAGAGAATCAAAAGTTCGCGAGACGCAGATGAATGTTGATGTTCTTCTGTTCCATGATCACCGTGTGTAGACATATGTCCGTCTAATGAACATGAAGGTAGATTTTCAGACAGCTGTGGAAAAAAGAACGTTTGCCTTTCTTCTTTCAAGGTCTGACTCCAGGAGCTAGAAGTCACCAGATAACTGTCACGATGGATTGGACTTCGGGAAAACCACCTAGACTATAGCCGAAAGACCCGATATTCCAGCCTAGGGCGTCACGCGCACGTCTGCCGAATATGCGTACCACACAATAACAAACAATGGCTAATTAGGACCATAAGTTTGCCATAAGTTCAAATTTTCACAGGACGAGGAGAAAGGCCAGCGGAGACATAGAGATATGGCTGGCCACTTCGACGCTCTCTAGCATCGACCTACGAGACTCCAGCGCATAGCCGCTGCAGCGTTGCATTTATGCTCGGGCCGGATTCAGATATGGATGGCGTGGTGCGCAACGCTGACGGTACCGAGTTCGATCATAGGCCGGAAGGAACATGGGAGTGGAGAGAGACTCAGAGTTTCCTTATGCCGCCTCGATGCGTATGGCCTCAACATGACCTCTTTGATGACTACGTCGACGTCTATACCTTTGTCACAGCGTCTTCCTTGTCTTGACCGTGTACCATCCAGCTGCCTGCATTGTTCTCGACCTCCGATGACGAACGGATCGATATGCCGCATATATATCGCATCCGACACCCTGAACCTACCGCCTTTGGGCCTACCCTGCTTCTACCCTAAGCACTTTTGCGGCTTACGTGCGGACCTCTTTGTGAGCATATCTGCTAACACAATACACAAAAACATACTTGAGACCTGGAGGTCGTGTATTCTTGTTCCTGGTACCGATGGTAAGGGAGGTAACAACAGTTTATTGGGGTAACTTGAAGCAAGAACCCGAACACCTGGAGGAGGACAAGGACAAACATGGGACGGCGGTTGGTACGCTTTTCTGTGCCGTCCCAAAGCTCTTCACTTTGCCTGGGCCCCTCAGGAGATTACATAGTATACATGCCGTCCTGCGGCAATAGCGCATGATGAGGGTAATCCTACAATACTCAATCTGATTGTTTATCTTGTATCGATTTTCTCATAGTGGAGATGATCAGTTATACTACTCTATATGATGATAATCAGTGCTACTCAATAATGCAGTCCGTGAAACTTGAGACGTAATAAATGGGATAGATATCATGAGTCGCCACTGTTCTCATCTTTCAGTGCCGATGCATCGTCGCCGCCAAGTACCGTCGATTCGTCATCGGTTTGAAGTCTTGACTCGTTATCACTCTCGTACTCGGAAACTTCCTCGATAACCAGAGCTTCCTTTGTTGCAAGATCCTTGTCTGTCTGTGGACTCAGCTCCGGATGAGTGTCGATGAATGCTTGCAATGATATGGGTTCATCCTCTGGATCGGGTGGTTGGAGCGTCGATCCTTCCGCGTCGTAGAAATCGGTGAGGGTGAGCGAACGCATAGTGAAGCCCTTGTAGGTTCAGTTAGCGAGGTTCATGAATGACATCTGAAAAAGCGCACCTCTTTCTCGACCTTCATCAGCGCTTCTTCGTCGTGCTCCATGGCGCGCATACATTCCCTCACTGGGACCATCGCAGCGTTGCGGCATAATTCGCGCAAATCAGAACCAGAGAATCCGGTTGTCTGAGAAGCAAGGAGGCGCAGGGAAAGCTGAGGATCCAGTTTCGTGTCCTTGAGCATCTGATGGAGTTCAGAGCGCGCAATTGTCCATCGGTGATATAGATACGTACTAGAGACAGAATTTTGAATCTCTGTTCTGCATCTGGAAGAGCCACAGCGAACCGCTTCGGCATGCGCCGCAGAATTGCAGGGTCAATGTCACCCGGTCTGTTTGTCGCGCCGAGCACTAGTATCCTGTCAGACCCCGATGTCAAGCCATCCCATGAACTAAGCACCAAAGGTCAGTCAAAATTCGAGCTGAAAAGGCATCGCTCACGTCATAAATTCTGCCTTCATCATACCCATGACTTCGTGGTCATCTCCGCGGCGTTCCCTCAGGAAGGAGTCGATCTCATCGACAAATATGATCGCAGGTTGGACCTTCCGGGCGAGGCTGAACAGACCTGCGACTAGCTTGTTGGACTCACCAAACCACTTATTTGTGAGCGTTGATGCGGGAACGTTAATGAATGTTGCGCCTGATTCCTTGGCCAGCGCACGAGCGAGCATAGTCTTCCCACATCCCGGAGGTCCGTAGAGTAGAACACCTTTTGGAGCCCCGAGGAGGGGAGACGCTGAGGTGAAAAGAGCGGGGTGGATTAAAGGGTAAATTATGGTTTCGCGGAGAGACGATACGATTGACTCCAGACCCCCGATGTCTGAGAAATTTTGGTTGGCATGGGAGATTCATTCGCAGAAGACGGCGGACAAACCGTTAAATCGGACGGCGATTTCGTCTGGGTGAACAACCTCCTTTGATATCGCTCCTGTAAGAAGTCCCAGAGGTCAGCAGGAAGTGGCGCGCAGCCGAAGAGTCACACGCACTCTCATACTCATCTAGCTTGAGGTTCTTTTGCCCGATGATCTTCTTGATTGCTTCAGCACTCTTTGTTGTCCGGTCGTCACTCCGCTTGAAGTACCACTACAAGGATGTTAACTATGCTTCCCAGAAATTTCCATTACGGAGACGCACGCGAATAGCACAGTAAACCGCTGCCTAACGCAGATCCTCAGCTCTCGGGAGCAAAATGATTGACAAATCGAATAATCACCTGTGAAGCTAGGAATAGAGCAACTGCAATCGTATCAGCATAGTAAGCGGCATTTGTAAACGAAACCGACGGTAAAGCATACCATCCAGGATTATTAAGCGTCTTGTGCTCAGGGAAGATGCCATCGAAGAGGAAAAGAAGCTTGATAATGTATTCTGCAGTCAGAGAGTATATTTTCGTGCCCGCGACTTCTAAGGATTGAGAAGGAGGACGTGGTGACTGGCAGCAGCGTGGTCGGTAACGGTCGTTAATCACAAGATTTTCATAGTGTTGTTTATATGTATTTGACAAGAGCTTTAGAATTCAATAGAGCCACACTTCAAGCTTCAGCGGCTGAGTCAGAGCCTCTCTTCTTCCGAGATTGCATAAGTTTAACTTTTGTCGTTTGTCCATCGTGTTTGGTTTTACTTGTCGTCAAAGTAAAGCAAAAAGAGATGCCAGGACCGTGGATTGAACACGGGACCTCCAGAAAACATCACACTTCAGTCTGTTGCTCTCCCAGCTGAGCTATCCCGGCTTCGATTAAGCGCTCTACTCGACAGCTATAAGTCGACATTACATCCTATCTAGGTCGATCTCACGGTGAATGGTAATTGTTACGTGGTCATCTGTTGGCGAACCCTGCTGAAGCCAGCTGAACGTTCTCCGTATCAGACTCTAGTGCCCGTGGCAAGCGGAAAAACGGGTCCGCTCCGGATATATAACCATGATAATCTCGTAAGGAGAAATCATGTGTCTGAATCGGCAGCCGATAACTTCTGTCACCGGTCATAATCGAATGCTGCAATCCCTGTCACGTTCTCTAGCTACGTCAGCTTATCGGGTAGATGCTAGTGGTTGAAGCTGTCTTAAATAAGTCATACTGACCACCGTTGCCTTCCCAGACTCTCCATCACCTCTCTACCATGTCGGCTGCTCCTGTGCAATCAACTCAATGGATGAAATACTTTGGTGATATCTATGGACATGCAAAACCACCTGTTCTGGGCTCTTTCGCACTGAAAGAGATAGAGGACACAGCCCGGGAGATAATGAAAGACCATCTCCGTGAGTATTATCATCCGCTCAAGTACCAACTCTTGATTCGAACGAGGTTGCTAGCGGCATACATGTACACATTTGGGAGTGCGGGAACGTGCTCGACAGACGCCGCAAATAGGCGCGCGTTCAACCGGTGGAAAATCGTTCCTGCAATGCTCAGGGACTGCACTAACCGAAATGTCGAGGTGAGTATTTATGAGCACATGATACCCCTGTCTAATGTATTTCTGTATTTGGGTAGACAACGATCTTTGGACAGAAGTTCCACGCACCTCTTTTTATCGCACCCATAGGTGTACAGGGTATCTTGCATGCAGACGGAGAACTCGCAACTGCAAGGGCTGCCGCTGCCTGCGGAATTCCTTACATTATGAGCTCAGCATCATCCCGGTCAATCGAGGATGTCGCAAAGGCAAATGGGCCAAATGGTCAGCGGTGGTATCAGCTCTACTGGTATGTTCAATCTTGCATCACCATCCATTTCACTTATCATAACTCGACTGCGAACACCTCAGGCCGCGCACGGACGAGATAACAATATCCCTTCTTAACCGTGCCAAAGCTGCAGGCTTCTCTGCACTCGTGATCACGCTCGACACCATGCTCTTGGGTTGGCGTCCACATGACCTTGACACCGCTTACATACCCTTCTTTTATGGCGTTGGTATCCAGGTTGGCTTGTCTGACCCCGTGTTCATGAAGCGCCACGGATACGAACCTGTGCACGAGAGCACCAAGTTCCCTTTCGAGCCAGAGGAGATTAGAAACGCGGCGTTGAAAGAAGGCGATGTGAATGCCCAGAAAGCAATGAAACTGGGCAAGGAGTGGCTCGGACAAACCAACTCGGGCTCTTTCAGGTCCTGGGAGGATCTACAATTTATCAAAGATCACTGGGATGGACCTATCATTCTGAAGGGGATTCAGCGGACATCCGTAAGTTGATGTCTTTTAGTTCCACGATGACTTATGACAACGCTCGCAACAGGATGCGGAGAAAGCTATTGATATGGGCATTCACGGTATCATTGTATCCAATCACGGCGGACGGCAAGTCGATGGTGCTATTGGCTCCTTGGATGCATTAGCCAAGATCATGCGCTCACAGAAGATTATCCAAGCGCAGGCGAAAGGTGACCTGACGATCCTCTTCGACTCTGGTATTCGCACAGGCAGTGATGTCATCAAGGCCATGGCAATGGGTGCACAGGGAGTCCTCAGTACGTGTTCTAATTTTCTGCAGTGGTAGTTTCTTATTAAAGAATCCTAGTTGCTCGCCCATACATGTACGGACTTGCCACTGCCGGACAGGCGGGAGTCGAACAGATTTTGATGCAAACCGTGACCGATATGCATATCACGATGGGTCTCTGCGGGTACAGTGATGTCAACGACCTTATTGGGAAGCGGGACGAACTTCTCGAACTCGTAGATGATTGAACGGCACAAATCAACACATCAATTCTTTCATTTATAGGAAGACTGTATTAGACTGTATTATGAACTATGTATCCCAAATGACATCTCGAAGCTCATCAAAGCAGAAATGCAGTATACTCGCTGAAAGTTTGTCAAACCGCGAAATTGCCTTTAGATGTCACAGTCATCTCAGGCTTCTGCCGTGCCTGGATCTTGTAAACAACACCGGGAGTAATGTCTTGAGCATCTGGTTTTACCAGCACTTGAGTGATCAGTAAATCACGACTCTGCAATCATGGAACTTCCAGCAAGATTTTCCCACTTGCATAAATGAACTATTGGACCGGTAACCAGCTGACGTGCTTCAGAAAATGGTGAGCCTCGTCACTGCGGCTTCGTCTTGGTTTCGGGCCGAGTTGGCAAATGACCTCACATGGTGCGAATTCAACAACTTGATCATGGATGGACCCGGGACAACTAGGGACAACCGTAACTGCTCTTCTCAGCAACGTTTACCACAGGGCCCAAACCTGAACCAAACGTTCCTCTGAGGTGTATCTCTACGAGAATGAACACGAGACAGGTCAATGAACCAATGGACCATAGGTAAACAGCTGGTGAATTGTAAGTTCCTACCACTTTGAATTGAAAACCAACTTCTTGTCAGGAAGTTGAATCATTGCACTCACGATACTCGGACCGCCACTATCTTGTCATCGCTTTTTCGAGAGGAGACGTTTCATACGTGGCCATTGCAAGATGCCCAATATTTGCGTTCACCAGCGCATATATAATAGACCACTGAGTATGATATTGCTATCGCGTCAGCCATGTTCTCCGCTGCATCCTTGTTCACAATTATCCTCCTGGCTTTGTCAACCATGGGATCGCCCATTGAAGTCAGCAATTCCCCCATAACCCTCCCGATTGCCAGGAGGCTAAGTGCCCTCAATGGTACCATTAACCTCTTGGAGCAGGATAGAGCTCGCGCGGCTGCCCTCAGGCTCAAGGGCCACAACTTGAAGCACGACGGCCATGGCGTTCCTATTTCCAACGTTGCTACTGGATACCACATAGCAGTTGGGATTGGCAGCCCCCCTACGACTTGTAAGTCCAATACTGAGAAAATATGCGACTGCTGATGTGTTATCGAAGACAACTTGATTGTCGATACCGGTACCTCAAATACATGGATTGGCGCCAAAAAAGCGTACGTGCAGACCAGTACCACCATCGACACTAAGGAGCCTGTGGAGGTCATCTACGGTTCCGGAGGTGCCTACTTCTCTGGTATGACATACAAATATGACATAAGTAATCGAAAATACCCATGATTATCTACAGGATCCGAGTACATCGACACCTTCACTTTCGGTACTGGGCTCACTATCCCCCAACAGTCGTTTGGTGTTGCTTTTCAAACGTCGGAAAACTTCGGCGGAGCTGACGGTATTCTTGGCCTCGGGCCTATAGACTTGACAGCGGGTACCCTGACAAATGAACCGGCGACGACGATCCCGACTGTCACTCACAACCTGCATAGCCAAGGCACCATTCATCTTGAGGTTGTTAGTATCTCTTTCGAGCCCATCACTTCAGCGGAGGCAGTCATCAATGGAGAACTCATTTTCGGTGGAACTATCCGTAACAAGCACGCCGGTCCCATCACGTACACGTAAGCTACCTCAGTTCCTAGATCAATCCAAGCTGATAGTAATCGTTTTGTTTCAGTCCTATCACTACCACCCATCCTTCATCGATGTATTGGGGTATCGACCAGAGCATTTCCTATGGCTCCACAACGATCTTGTCCTCCACTGCTGGTATCGTCGATGTTGACACCACCTTTATTCTCATTGCCAGCGGTGTGTATTTAGCGTGCAGCGAACAATCATGGTCTAATCGACGTTAGTTAGATGCTTTCGACAAGTACCAGTCTTTAACCGGTGGTACTCTGGATGCGGCGACTGGTCTTCTCCTCATTTCCTCTCCTCAGTACGCAGCACTCGAGAACCTGAACTTCCATATTGGCAGCGTACGCCATTTCTGGCAGCCTTCACATCTCTTGTTTACCATTTGCACAGGAAACGTATGCTCTCACCCCTAACGGCCAAATCTGGCCTCGTGTTCTCAACACGTACATTGGTGGCAGCAGCAACGCCATCTACCTCGTCATTCACCACATTGCTGCGCCCAGTGGCGAAGGGTTTGACTTTGTTAACGGCTACCCATTCGCCGAGCGGTTCTACTGCGTGTTCGATACCTCCCGCTCCCGCGTCGGGTTTGCCCAAACCCCGTATACTGATGCCACCACCAACTAAAATGGAACTGCCAAAGTACGCAAAAGATCGATTTTCAGGCGCAAAACAGTATACAGATTTGGACGTTGTACCGACTCTACTATGTGTTTGCGTGTGATTAGCAATAGTATCACACCTACTTGCTTAGGATATCTAAAATGGTGAAATGCTAATTGTGTCATCCTGGTCAACTTGCCGTCGCAGTCAGTTCTAGTCACATAGAGGGAGGACATGGCAGCCATACACTGCGAGCTGCCCACAATGACATGGTGTTGGCAAGCGGTGCAAACAGAGGAAGTAGTAAACAAACAGGCAGCGAGAGACTCGCAGGGATCGGAAGAGATGGAGGTAAATATCCTGATTGTAGGCTGGCGAGATCATGATTGAGGTTGGACGGGATGTAGTGAGACTCTCCAACAGTTTCTAAATCTGAGCAACCCACTGAGGAAAAATAAGACACGCACTTCTGCTTGAAAGAGGACTTAAATAAGACGTTTCATGTGCGACGATGATGTAAAGAAGTATGTGGAGGGGCACCTACCTTCACAGATTAGCAAATTTACAGACAAGAACAACCGATTGACAAGTATTGACAGAAACCATCCTGCTCAGCCGGCCATTCAGTCAATACACGAGGATCAACAGAAATTCGGTTATAAAACCTTGCGGGAAGTCACCCAATTACCCACAGGCGCTTTAACGGTGACGCTGGGGAGCTTGTATCTTACCTCTGTCCATAGTGGAGGGAGAGCTTATCATCAGTTTCCCGGCGGACCGTGTTATGTCGCTATATGATATCCTGTAAACAGACGTCTCGAGTTTCATGCAAGGCTTAATTTTGGACCAGTTGGTAACGTCAGAACGGAACAGCGTAAGCCGAGATTCTCACCTACTAACATGCATTCACTCTCAGTTCATGCTTTCAAGTCGCGTCCCGAACGTGCTTGGCAAAGCACCAAGGTATGCAATACAATTATTGCACGACTTTTGACAAAGATATCTTGGTCATGCTGAGTTTGACGTGCGAACCTCGAAGATCAAGTCACTTACCACTAGTTGAAACAAGACTTTTAGATCAAAACCAATGCGACCGTAGATATAGCCATGGGAGACCATTCCAGAAGTGGAAAGTGAAAGGTGCAGCCAGGATAACTTTGCCGGTACACCTCACGTAGTCTGGCGGTCCAGTAATGAACTCCACGATGTGAGCGCTATCGGAAGTATCTGGAGCGACGAGGTATGCCAACGAAAAGCCATATAGGAGGAGATGATATCACGATCGCACCATATTTCAGTCATTCATGAGGCATCGGGACATACTATGCGTGCTGGACAGTTGCGTGGTTTGCAATTGAGTTCAGCCATATCAGCTATGGCTGGTAGATTGTGAAATAAGGGCTGGAAGGGCGTTTAAGACGCTGAGAATTCATAATCTCATCCGAAGCCAATGGAGGCAGGGACTGTATCTGTACACCACTAAAGTACATTCAAAAATGACAGTTCAAGCCTCAACTTGAAGATCACGAAAACTAGCCTTACCGCTTGGGAATCCAGGTACAAAAGCACTTTGATTTCTTCCAGTAATAAGTATCTTTCCAGATTATGGTGTGCACTTACCAATGACTGGAGCGACTCTCCTCGTAACAGAACCAAGCCCTCAATATTCAATGCGAGCAAAGCCTGTCAGCTAGATCGTGGGAAATATTGAGGTTTCCACGCGTGCCGGCGCGTCGCATCAGACATACATTATCATAAAGCATACTTCATATATCATATGCGGTGTGCGGCGTGTACCTAACTTTGAGCATCCCTATTCTATTCTATGGCTTCGGACCGATCTGGCAAATGACCTCACATAGTGTCGATTCAACAGCTCGATCATGGATAGACCCAGGACAACCAGGGACAACTGCTCTCCTCAGCAACGCTTGCTACACCAACCTGACACTAATGTTCCTCTGAGGTGTATCTCTATGGAAATGGACGTGGAGTAAGTCAATGAACCAATAGACCATGGGTAAACAGGTGAATTGTAAGCTCCTACCACTCCGAATTGAAAACCAACTTCTTGTCAGAAAGTTGAATCATTGCACTCACGATACTCGGACCGCCACTATCTTGCCATCGCTTTTTCGAGAGGAGACATTTCATACGTGGCCATCCAATATTTGCGTTCACCAGCGCATATATAATAGACCACTGAGTATGATATTGCTCTCGAGTCAGCCATGTTCTCCGCTGCATCCTTGTTCACAATTATCCTCCTGGCTTTGTCAACCACAGGATCGCCCGTTGAAGTCAGCAATTCTCCCATCACCCTGCCGATTGCCAGGAGGCTAAGTGCCCTCAATGGTACCATTAACCTCTTGGAGCAGGATAGAGCTCGCGCGGCTGCCCTCAGGCTCAAGGGCTAGACATTGAAGCACGGCGGCCATGGCGTTCCTATTGCTAACGTTGCTACTGGATACTACATAGCAGTTGGGATTGGCAGCCCCCCTACAACTTGTAAGTTCAATACTGAGAAAATATGCGGCTGCTGATGTGTTATCGAAGACGACTTGATTGTCGACACTGGTACCTCGAACACATGGATTGGCGCCAAAAAACAGTACGTGGGGACCAGCACCAGCGTCTACACTGGTGCGCCTGTGACGGTCCTCTACGGTTCCGGATCTGCCTACTTCTCTGGTATGGCATACAAAGATATCATACATTGTTGGAAATATTTATGATTATCTACAGGAATTGAGTACTTGGACACCGTCACTTTCGGTAGTGGGCTCACTATCCCCCAACAGTCGTTTGGTGTTGCTGCTACTACGTCGGGCACCTTCGGCGGAGCTGACGGTATCCTTGGCCTCGGGCCTATAGACTTGACAGCGGGTACCCTGATAAATGAACCGGCGACGACGATCCCGACTGTCACTGACAACCTGCATAGCCAAGGCACCATTCATCGTGAGGTTGTTAGTATCTCTTTCGAGCCCATCACTGTAGCGAAGGAAGTGGTTAATGGAGAACTCACCTTCGGTGGAACTATCCGTAACAAGCACACCGGTCCCATCACGTACACGTAAGCTACCTGAGTTCCTAGATCAATCCAAGCTGATAGTAATCGTTTTGTTTCAGTCCTATCACTACCACCCAGCCTTCATCGAGGTATTGGGGTATCGACCAGAGCATTTCCTATGGCTCCACAACGATCTTGTCCTCCACTGCTGGTATCGTCGATGTTGGCACCACTTATATTCTCATTGCCAGCGGTGTGTATCTAGAGTGCAGCGAACAATCATGGTCTAATCGACGTTAGTTAGATGCTTTCGACAAGTACCAGTCTTTAACCGGTGGTACTCTGGATGCGGCGACTGGTCTTCTCCTCATTTCCTCTCCTCAGTACGCAGCACTCGAGAACCTGAACTTCCATATTGGCAGCGTACGCCATTTCTGGCAGCCTTCGCATCCCTTGTTTACCATTTGCACAGGAAACATACACTCTCACCCCTAACGGCCAAATCTGGCCTCGTATTCTCAACACGTACATTGGTGGCAGCAGCAACGCCATCTATCTCGTTGTTCACGATATTGGTACGCCCAGCGGCAAAGGGTTTGACTTTGTTAACGGCTACCCATTCGCCGAGCGGTTCTACTGCGCATTCGATACCTCCCGCTCCCGCGTCGGGTTTGCCCAAACTCCGTATACTGATGCCACCACCAACTAAAATGGAACTGCCAAAGTACGCAAAGGAACGATTTTCAGGCGCAAAACAGCATACGGATTTGAGGCTTGTACGGACTCTTCTTAAGTAGGCTATGGAGGTCTCATTCCTTCGGTTGGGCGTGCATAGTATGATTAGCGATGGTATTACATCTGCTGGTTAGGATGTCTAAAATGGTAAAATGCCAATCCCGTCATCCTTGTTAACTTGCCGTCACGGTTCTAATCACCTGGAGGGAACCAGAGTGGGAGCTGCAGATAATGGTCAAATCACTAAATTTATTATCCACCACGATGGGGACGCATGTAATAACAAAGACTATATCCCTAGCTCAATTGAGACAGCTCTGAACATTGCGCATAAGGCGGATTGTTCCTGCCTCGAGGGCTCGCGTCTCACCAAGTGCCAGCAGGAGCTAATTTCCATCCGCAAATGGCATTCTTCTGTTGAATGGTGATGAAAACACGAGCGCGAGAATATTGGGGACGAGTGCCCCTGTGAATGGCTTGGCACCTCCTTCATATGACCCACCTTTTCCAAGCAGCTTCCCAACCATCCACAAAGCGCTTCTCAACGAATGCGCTTACAGCCCACGTGCGTGCGTCCTTATCGCTCGCTGCTCCGACTTACCCATGCTCAGCACCGCATGCATGGCGTTCACAAAGCTCTGCGGATCATGTGCATGGAATCCCGTTGCTTCACCATCCAGAGGTACAACAATATCATGAAGTGGGCTGCCGGAAGCGTACGTCACAGGAATCACACCTGCAGCCTCGGTTCTGCGCATATGAATGAGCTTTCGCGGGAAAGTTGAAGTGTAATGACATACGGTGAACCTAATCGAGGCCGCTTAAGCATAGAATATGAAAAGCCATACTTTCGCAGTAAATCGAAACGTATCATGCGAACCAAATTGCAGGCCGAGTTGTTGCCACCGTGAGACCGTCAAATTCCCGCCGTTTGGAATAACGACATTGTTGCCTTCTAGGAAACCCAAGATTCGACGAACCTGGTAGTTGGTCAACAACTTGGTGGAGGTAGACTTCTCTGGATTTCTTATGTTTCGAACATCTTGCGTAATTTGAATAGTAAACCTTGTTTTGTTCTTCCACCTTCACTAGACGAACTGTCAGTTGAAATGAAGGCAGACGGCTGGGCACTTACAAACAAGGGCTTCGTAGGCTGCATCGGGAGAGTCGACCATGGGTGGAATACCGCCAGCGATGAAAACCTCCGTCAAGCTATCGCTGTAGAATGAAATATAGGTGGTGGCACGAACTCCGAAAATTTGCCCAAAGATCGTCCATTTACGGGCTTCAAGATCTTTCTTGCCGTCGAAGAGAAAGTGCCGAATGGTCTCAGCCTCTGACTATGTTTGGTATGAACACTGACGACGCTTAGCGTTGTGAGGAAATGCCCACCGATATTATCTGCACGGAAGTATTTGAGATACTTGACAATTGCTTTCGTTTGGAAGATGTCTGTCGTTATCGGCGTGCTCAGATCAGTCCAAGAGGATCAAGCCAAAGGGTCTGCGATTGTCAGATAGCGATCATATCAGACGAGCGAGGACTCGTGACATTGTTTGCCTGACATTTTTTCTTGTGAAGCTTGCTCATAGTAGTATATTTAGCCTCGCAAACCTTCCCGTTGAAAGGTAGGTCAACACCGAATCCTGGACCACCTGCACGATGCAGAAGTTGGCCTCTGTTCGCAACTGTTTGAGTCATAACGAATTGCCTTGCAAATAAAAGACTGGTTTTGGCGGGTGAACATCATGCATGCAATGCTCGAAAGAATCGGGAATGACACACGGTAAGGAAAATCCGACTCTGCTGTGTCTGTGCCAGATACTTTGGCCAGAAGAAACCGATAAACTGGGGGTTTGATGTGGTGGAGATGCCAATATTCTTGATGATGGCATGGCGAGCTTGAGTGAACACCTGGAAAGTTTATCTGTATAAGCAATAAATACTAAAAATGATGATACCGAGGAGGCCTGTTAGAAAAAGGCAGAGCAATAGCGGTAGCCTGCAGCAAGCTCGCCTCGCCGATGCGGCAAGAGCCAAATACGTATCCACTGTCCCTGGGGCCTGAGGCCTTGAGGCAGAAGTCCGCACAACTAACATCAACACTGCCAAGAATCTTGTTCCGTTCTGGTTGCCGCGAACGAACGCGGCACGCAAGGATCCACTGGCACTTGAACCCAACTTTATTCATCCACCAGAAGCAATGCGGGCCCCGTCGAACGGATAGCTATAGTATTATGTTGACATCCTGGAATGGTGCAAGAGGACCCAGGTATCTGATCCAAGCCAACGCCACCTCGTGTTTATCGTAAAATCCGCAGTCGGCTCAAAATCATCCCGCACGAATGATAGGTTTCACCTTAGTTGGCTAGTGGTCACAGTGCGTCAGTTTGTTCTTTTTGTTTTATGGTTTATTATCCTATGTAGATTTCGCTTGGCTTTTGCGCGTCCTCACAAACATGACCACATGTAACATAGTAAGATCCTCTTCCTTCCGAGTCCCTGCGCAGAATTCACTGACAGTAGCCGTAGTTACACGGAAATACTCGGATGAGTGACTTTCGCCTATTGAGTAAGAGTCTCCTAGATTTACACGAAACTGGACGAAAGTTCAAGGCTTTTTGCTCCGGGTAGTATAAGCTATGCTGGGTTGCTTACTTTCCACAATCTCAACTTGGCGCTAAAATGGACAGGTGGGCGCTTTTTCCGCATAATAAATAGACCACCATAACACATCCCTAGATTTTACCACTCCTTCAAGTTGTTTTTCACCTCCTAGAGCGTCCCTCCCCCACATCTACCAGTAGTACATATAGTCTGGCATGGCTCCTTTCGACACTCAGCCTATCAAGTCACTCCCAGCACCCAGGGATGGGAATATCGTCGTCCGCAGTTACCAGTCCGGGTCTATGGATCGTCATACTATCATTGATGTCGTCATCATAACCGGTTAGTTTGTGTTCCTCAATCCCTTGGCGATGAATAGGGTCAATCGGCTACCCGTTCTCTGTTTCCTTCCAAGTACTATTGTCAAAGCCTCCACGCTTTTCGTCACGGTTTCCTTTGGCCGTGACTCTCGTACCTCCTGATACTGACAACACATCTCAACAGTGATATTCATTGCACTCCTTCTATCACTCTCTGCCTTAGCATGCTTCCGACCTACATCGTTGAACTCGCTTCGCGCAGTCCCAGTTCGTGGCACAGAAGTGCCCATCCTCAACACAGCCACGCCAATGCGTTCGACTGCAACCACTGGACGTAGCATTCACTACTCCAGGCATATATTGATGATGTCATTCGTATTACACAACTGGTGGGCACGTGCATTTCACGATGGCATTCCCCGGTCTGTAAATACTGCGCACCACGAACCAACTCTATTTCGTGCTGCCCCCCATGCCTCATCGGCAGTCATAGGCACGGAGTTTTATTCTCGCTCACCGAGCTTCACCACTTTTGCACCCACTTCTCAATCGGAGGCACCCAGCATCGTCAACACTTTCGTTGACAGTGGAGACGTGGAGCTTCATGTGCTTGATGGCAGTAAATCCCTGAGCGCACCCTCATTAGCAGCAGCTGACGACGCAGACATCGCCGATAACCAAGTTGTTATGCTGTCTGCTACGGAGTTCATCGTCCCCGTAGATGCGAAGCCTGAGGCACCTGATCCATCTTGAATGGTCTACCGCTGATTGCTACACGGTAGAGTCAACATTGCAGAAGTTGATGAGGTAGCAATGGGGTGTCAGGTTTCACGATGAGCTGAACCAAGTGCATCCAGGTTTTGGGGTTCCACGCGCAAGGCAGTGGAAATGGGAATGGGGGCAGGGGCAGTGCATGAAGGACCTGTGCATCATTCTGGAAATTTGAATCCACAGTTGTATATATAATATAGCACATCAATGTTTTCCGAGTAGAACAAGACATCGCCCTGTAGCTATGCTACTTCACGACACTGCCTCGGTGTGCACACACTAGTGAATAGAATGTTCTTTGAACACGCACAGCACACTACAGCACAACTACAGGATGAGGTTTTTACGATTCCTGACGTCAATTGCTCACGAGATATCGCCAGTGGTGTGGCCGAAGTTCCTGGGTTTCTCTCGAGTGTGACAAACGTTGTACGAGGATTCAGCATATTGAACGTATGAATGGGTGACTCAGGCTGATATCTGAATGGCTAACTACTAGGACTTGGGAGTCGCCAAGGTCCAAGAGCCAGTAGTGCTCCGCAAAGCACTGGTAGTATTAACAAAGCACAAACGTTCGTGCCGTCAATATTGCAAGAAAACGAGCTTGTAAATGGTGAAACGTCAACAGGAGATGAGTATTCAAGTTGGAGAAGGTACTTTCCGACTTGGAAGTAGGGAGGGTTCTGAACTTGTCAGATCAGTGTCCAGGCAGGTCCAGGTGTGACACTCGCGTGCGCGTCACCAGGATAAAAGTATTAGGAAGTGATCGAGTTCAGATGAAGTTCACAGAATGTTCGAGGCCCGGCTACTCGCAGGAGCCGGGGCCGTATGTTATTTTCCGTTTAATCTAATGTTCCGTTTATCACAGGCTTCGTACGTCTCGACAATATATATATAGTCGTGCTTCTGTACTTAGCCCCCAGAGTTCTCCCAATTACAACTAGGCTGGTATCTGGTTACCATTGCGCGAGAAAATACTCTACGTTGTGCCGCCATCTAAAGTCTAACAACTTCTACGTGCCGTCACATATTTTTTAACCTTCCCCATTCCTATTTTAACTCGCTTGTAACCAAGCTCTTCTTCTTACAAAATCTTTTGTCACTACCGTTGACTGGTCTGGCCCACCACGTCCCCGAACCGTGACGATGACAAAATCCACATCCACGATGACCTATAATACTCGCTCGCGCACTCGCGCTAGAGCCAGCTCAGTTTCTACCCCCGCAAGTGAAAAAAACGAACCGGTGAGAGACGACTACGGAAACTTTATTGTTAATATTATGACCTTAGCTCAAAAAGCAGCGCAGGGTTCTGGCTCAGCAGCCGGAACCCAAGCGCCTGTCGAATCTCCGTTGACCTCGGTGGAAGGGTCCCCTGGGACCGAAATGGAGAGTCCGTCCGCACTGAGACCAACTCGCTCGTACAGCGACGTGGTCCGTGCGAGTAGCCCTGGGAGTGACCAAACAGTCGCCCAGGAGAGTATATTACGGCCTAAGCCAATGTTTAGTCCTGCGGGCGGTAATAAAATTAATGAACTTGCGGAAAGCGGGGGCAAGCGCGTCAGAAGCGACACAGCTAAGGAACCTGAGCTAACCAGCAGTGACGAGGACGATGACGATCGTCCTTGGATCCAAGTCTCTCATAAAGGGAGAGACCGGGCCAAGACACCCGAACGGCTCTACAAGGAGCCCTTAAGAAACTCGGCTAGACGTGAAAGTAACGTGAGTAGCCAGAGCACACCCGCCACGAGAGAAATGGACCTGGGCGAGGGAACCTCCAAAGGTAAAGGAGTGGACCCCCGAAACTGGGGCGATGCGATGCTCGACGAAGAGGATCTGAATCTTGAGGAGCAGCGAGCGGCACTAGAATCCTTCAAAACAGCGAGGGAAATCGCTAGTCAGACAGAATCTTCCTCTGAAGGAGACTTGCACGCACCTCTTAAGGGATCGGGACCCAAAGGACAGCGTCAGGATATCTTTGAGCAGGCTGCGCGTGAGCAGCGAGCAGTCGATCATGCAGTGAAAATGGCGGAGAACCGCCTGCGAAAGGAGTACGACCAGAAACTGAAGGAAGTCTTAGCAGGGGTCCAAAGACCTGAAAGGAGGGCTCGCGTTCGCGAACCCTTTGAACGGATGACTTACCCTATAGACGACATGGTCAGGAGGGTAGTAAACCCGAAAACCAATAGGCGAGAGCAACGTCACACTCCCCAAGCCATGGAACCAGTACACCAAGTGGCGCCCAGGTCCTACATTGGGCAAGCACTGGGACGCTTAGGTCGGGGAGGCGACGATTCCTCGGACTCGAGCTTCTCGGATAGTTCCTCGAGCTCGAGTGATGAGACTAGTTCGTCTAGCTCAGATAACGAAGTCCCTAGAAAGGGCAGTAAAAGATCAAAGAAAAGATCCAAAAGAAAGAAAGGGAAGACGACCTTGAAACTGATAGCTCCCGCGACGTACGATGGGGCCGTCGATTCCCGCGCGTTCCATCGGTTTATCACCGAAGGAACGGCGTACGTAAAAGACGGGAAAGTCAAGGCCAAGAAACGAGCGTTTGTGTTGTCGCACTACCTGAAGGGCAAGGCTCATGAGTTCTATATTCGAGAAGTATCCGGAGACCCATACCGCTGGAGACTGCGTGAATTCTTCATGGAAATGTTCAACTACTGCTTTCCTATCAATTTTAGGACGAAGCAGCGCGAGAAACTGAAGAGGTGTTTCCAGAACGACAAAACCGTAAGAGACTACATATATGAGCTCAACGAGCTATGGAACATGATTGGGGACGTTGACGACCGGGACAGGGTGTCTCGGTTGTGGACGGGCCTGACAGCCGAGATTCAAAGGGAACTTTGGAAAAAGGAATTAAATCCAGAGGTGTCTACCTTCAAAGAGGTTCAGGCCGCGGCCGAAATCATCGAGATCGCTCACTCCGTCCCAACGGGAAGGGAAAAGCGAGCCACCAACAAGGACAAGCCTGCCCCCGTCGAAGTCTCAAGCGCGACGGCTGTGGGCAGGTCACCCAAAACCAAGGGAACTGGTCGTCGGAGGGACAGAGACAGACGTCCGAATCCCGACGACAAGTCAAGGGGACAGAGAACGTATCCAGGTGGGAACGGACCCAGGGGTACTGGGAGATCCCAACCCGGAGGAGGTATCAATCCGGAGGAACGAGAACGCCGTAAAACGGAAGGACGCTGTTATACCTGTGGGGAGTTAGGGCATGTCTCACGGCAATGCCCAAAGAATACTCACCTAAAATCAGACTCTCCCGGGAAACCACCAGGGATACCCAGTTTTGGGATACACGTTGGACCCAGTGAGGAGGAACGCATGCGGCAGCTGACTGAAGTATCCGAGCCTCCAGATGGCCTGTTTGTGGGGTCCGTAGGACTGTTCATGGAAGAATCTTTACCTTTCGAGATACCTCCCATAGATCCAAAGAGAGACGAACCTAGCGTTCGGTTCAGAGATCCAGTGGCTCGAAGAGCCGAAGACCGTCTACAGGGAATGCAGTTTCCCTGGGACGGCGCAAAGGATGAGACCCACGCAGTGGCCTGGGATGATCCAGATCGATTTTGGGTGGCCTTGCATGAGGACAAGGACACCTACGTTGTGGTGGATTACCACCATGGCAGGTACGGGCCGGAAAGGATGGAGCTGTCCCGGCAACAACTGGAGGATCCCCAGTTTCGAATAGATAAGGCCTACTGGCTGCACCTAGGAAGATTCTTCGGGAAGCGTCAGAAGTGGGACAGACGGAGGCTGCTCAATCAAGAGAGGCAACGCACTAACCGGAGGGAACCCATGGGGACTCCGATTGAAGACCGTATCGAGTGGTGGCTGGAGGAGTACATAGTTCACCCGGAGGACTACTGGTCCTCGTCCACGGACCGGCGTTTCGTCTGTGACCGAATCGATGATCAGACCTACAGGGTCACGGACAATGCGTTGGCATTAGTTACTCACCTGTCAAGAGAAACAGTGCTACAATGGCACTGGAACCCTGGGAGGTGGTATCGTCGCCGCCTAGGGAAGGCCGCACTACAGCTAAACAATGACTTATTAACAGCTAACGACGGCTGTTATGAAGGACTCACCGAGTTATTTGTGTTACCGGAGATCACACCACAGATGTCAATACTCGCCGAACCCGTGCTGCTGGACCAAGAGGAGTTAGAGTCCTACCAGGACACCACGCCTGTAGGAGGACCCTCTATGGAATGCGTCGTGTTTGGGGTCCAGGTCGCACAGGGTACTTACCCAGCGTTGCAACGAAACTCGGCCACTACTCGGGACGTAGCCAGAGCCATTCCCAAACCAGTGGTGGTGGTTGTTCATGTGAACGGGCGACCCGCTCGGGCGCTGATAGATACAGGATCACTAGCGGATTTCATGTCATTAACGACAGCTGAGCAGCTAAAGTGTCGACTTACCATGCTCGAAAAGCCACTGACCATCCAGTTGGCCGTTCAGGGGTCGAGGTCCAAGGTGAACTACGGCACTGAAGTTCGGTTTCAGTACCAGAGCACGGATTACCGTCGGTACTTCGACGTGATCAATCTGCAAAATTACGATTTGATTCTGGGAACGCCGTTCTTGTATCAGCACAGCGTAACGATCGGGTTCAACGCACCTCGGGTCATACTCGGCAGTGTTAGGCCACTCCCATTGAAGGGCAGCGGAGTGACTACTCTAGAGTCTAGAGCCGTTGAGGTGCTTGAGGGCGAAATAGAGCAGGCGAGGAGACGCCTGTTCGAGTTAACCAAGCCATTATGCGCGAAAGCCGCGGATACAAGCTTACCCCCCTTGCGGGCTATCAATCACACCGTGCCCCTCATCGACGAGCACAAAATATATCCCTGGAGACCGTCGCGTTGCCCGGAACCAATGCGGCCCCAATGGGCCGAGAAAAGGAGTGCCTATCTAGCATCCGGACGTTGGCAGATGACCAGCGCCGGTAACACCGTCCCTATGCTTTTCATACGAAAGCCAGGGACCGATCGGTTGAGGACTGTCGTTGACCTTCGTGAGCGCAATAAGAACACGCGTAAGCTGACATCACCCTTGCCGGACATGGACGGCATACTTCGACGGGTCGCACGAAAGCCATTTCGGTCGCTGATGGATGGGCAAGATGCCTATGAGCAGATCCGGGTGGTACCAGAGCATGTGCCACGAACAGCTATGACCACCCCGGACGGAAACATGGTCAGCCACGTGTTACAACAAGGAGACTGTAATGCCCCGGCGACTTACCAGGCGGTGATGAACTACTTATTTGGCGAGTACATCGGAATATTCATGGACGTGTACCTGGATGATATCATTGTCTACTCGGACACGCTACAAGAACACATGGGGCACGTACAGAAAGTCGTGCAGATCTTGGAGCGGGAGCAGCTGTTTCTGAGTGAGAAGAAGCTCAAGTTCCTGCAGCCAGAAATGAGGATCCTGGGACGGATCGTTAGCAACGACGGTATCCGTATGGACCCCGACAAGGTGGACAATGTTCTGAAATGGAAACCACCCACCAATCGTGACCTCTGTCGTGGTTTTATTGGCGCTGTTGGATACCTAGCGGACGATATCCATAAGGTACGGATCCCACTGGGCGTACTGTCAGCCGTGTGTGGGGACACGGTGCCTTTTCGGTGGGACGACACAGAGCAGAGGGCCTTTGAAGAGGTTAAACGATACGTCGAAGCGTGCTCGGCACATAGCAGGGTACCACTCACCTATGGGCCGAATCAAGAGCAGGTCTGGATGATGACGGACGCCTGCCCAACGGGCGTTGGCGGCGTCATCGCTCAGGGCGCCGAATGGCGGAAGGCGAAAGTAGCAGCCTTCTACTCGGCCAAGCTGAGTGCCGCTCAGCGAAACTACCCTGTCCATGAGCAGGAATTATTGGCCGGGGTCGAAACGATGTTGCGACACCGTGATATCCTGCAGGGATGCCCGTTTGTTTGGCTGACTGACCACAAAAGTTTGACACACCTGTTGAATCAGAAAAACTTGTCCGGTCGTCAGGCTCGCTGGATGGAAAAGCTAGGGGAGTTTGACTTCGTGGTTGAATACCTGCCGGGGGCGCATAATATACTCCCAGATGCTCTGTCGCGTATGTACGACTTCGATGCACCAGGCACTGTGCGGGCGACAAGTGAGTACGTCGTCCACGATGAGGGAGCACCACCCACAGATGTGGCTGCGATAGTCAGCATGCCGGTGCTGGTTGGTGACGAGGCTAGGGCCTCAGGGCCACGACAGAGCTCCCGGGTGGCCGCGCAACGCGTGGATGCCCAATTGGCGCCCAAACCACCCGCTAGGGCGCCTCGCTTGCCTGTTGCGAAGGCGGCAGTACAGGCCAGGGCCGAGGCATCGTGGCAGGTTCTGAGTGATGCGGCAGACGCCTTAGGCCAGCAGATGGTCACACCCACCGGCCCCTCCCCACCGCGAACACGGGTCGCGAGACCCATCATAGCTCCCACTGAGACGGGCCGGCCTGAAACGAGCCAGGAATTCGCGAGGCGGGTGCGAGATCGCTTCGTGTTGCGAGGTCCACGTGCCGAGCCTACCCCTGCACCACGAATGGAAGGGGGGGTGCAACAGGCAGGAGAAAAGGACGCGACTGAAAAGGACGTTGCAGTTGAGTCTGTAGAGAACCGAGTCCTGGTGACTTACCCCCACGAAACTGGTCTACTGGACCAATTGAGGGACCAGTACCACGAAGACACCATGTTCAGAAAGGTCCTAGAGTCGCCAAAGGAGTTCAGAAACTTCAAGGTAGAAGATGGTTTGATCAGCATTAAGCTGAAAGACAGAACAGCACTATGCATACCTGACATCAAGATCGGGGAACGACGACTCGTAGAGGTCATCATCGACCAAGCCCACTCTCTGCTGGCGCACCTCGGCGCGGATAAAACCTTGTCCTACATAAGGGAACACGTATGGTGGAAGACAATGGTCCCCGACGTACAAATGTTCTGTAAATCTTGCAAGACGTGTCAGCGCAGCAAGCCGTCGAACCAAAGACCCTTGGGGCTGTTAAACTCACCTTCAGTGCCTTCCCAGCCATGGGAGGTCATTGGCGTGGACTTCATGGGGCCACTACCTACCTCTAGAGACAGGAACGGGGAGTACGATTCGATAACCGTTATTATCGACCTACTAACGGCCATGGTACATCTGGTCCCAAGCCGGACGACGTACACTGCCAAGGACATAGCCGAACTGATGTTCGCTGAGGTATATAAATACCATGGTATCCCCAAAGCTATCATCAGCGATCGTGACGTCCTATTCACGAGCAACTTTTGGACTCACCTTAACAAGCTCATCGGTGCCCAACTAAGGATGTCCAGCGCGTACCACCCGCAGACAGACGGCGCCACGGAGCGGGCCAACAGAACAATTGGACAAATGTTAAGGTCCTGTATTGGGCCCAACCAACGAGACTGGGTCGCTAAACTACCTGCGATAGAGTTCGCAATCAACATGGCCAAGTCCGAGTCCACAGACACCTCACCTTTCCTTGCAAACGGCAGACTGCCGAGAGCAATGATTTGGGAAACCGCAGGGCCGAGCGAATATCCAGGGGTACGTGTATTCGCCCAGAAGATGAAGGCAGCGGTTATGGCTGCACACGACGCTGTACTGGGCGCAAGAGTTAAGCAAACGCATGAAGCTAACAAACGCCGAAGAGCGTGCCCATTAGTAATGGGCGACCTGGTGTATGTGTCCACCAAAAATATATCCTTACCTAAGGGTACGGTGAGAAAGCTAATACCTAAATACATCGGGCCCTACAAGATTCTCGAGGACTATCGCAACAACTCCTACAAGTTGGAACTTCCTGACCGTTTGAAACAACGGGGCGTCCATCCCGTATTCCACTCATCGTACCTTCGGATTCACATCCCCAGTGACGACCGACTCTTCCCTGGACGGTTAGAGACTCAGGTGGCGGGTTTTGAAGACTCCGATTCGGAGTGGGCCATCGAGCGGATTCTGACTCACTCAGGAAAGCGTGCTGACGCTATGTTTGAAATAAAATGGAAAAGTGGTGATGTCACTTGGCTGCCGTATGATCGTGTAGAGGAGCTCGACGCACTAAAAGATTATTTTACAGTGCTCGGGATCGAAAATGTCTCAGACCTTGAGGAGGGGACCGGGAATCTCCCAGCGAGAGATCCCCAGGTGTTAATTGGACACTTATCCCCCGCTGACTCGGCCTACAAAAGTCCCATCACCCCTCACCCCTCGTCCGCTTCCTCGTTCTCCTTCACCACCAACGAATCCCTACTTCTCTTTGCCTGCAACATAATCCCAAGCCTCATGGCCCCTCTTCTCACCCGCGTTGGTCCCCGCCGATTCACTCTACCGAACGGCCTCGGAGATGGGGACCTGCTGATCGTCCTCGACATGCTCCGCACCTACCTTGAGCATGATGCTCACCTTCGGTCTGGTACAGCCTCAGGCCGAGCTACACCTGCAGGGTACGGAGATTTTGCCCTCTCCTTCAACATGATGCAGACAACCAACGGACATACCTCTCGCATAGCGGAGGAGTCCACCGAAGGGCCACGCATCAGTGGTCCCTCCCCCTCGTTCATTGACCTCGTCGGCGAAGACACTACCGCCGCCGTTCAGGCCAACTCCAGCCAACCTCCTCCTCCTGAGGGCGGACGTTGGATAAACCCGCGTCGCGCTGAGCTCCTTGAGGAGGCCCTTTGGATGAACCTTGAAACCTCTAAGAGGCAGAGGGAGTGGCGCGATCGCAGCATCGCGGACCGCAAAGCCGCGAAACGCGCCCGCCACACCGCTAGTGCACCCCCTACCAATCCAACCATGACCCATGGAGAAGGCAGCAGTCGCGCACTCACCTTCTCCCCTACTCTTAACAATAACTCCCCTCGCACACGGTCACCTCACACCGCGGGTACCCGGGCCCGAATGGAGGTCGATGACGAGGATGAAACCGCCCCCCAGACTGGTAGACGGGTCGGAGATGAGACTGGAAAGGAGGCCGCTAAAAGAAAGAAGTAAGGGTAAGGATGCTGCTCATCCTGGAGGGGGGTATGTGACACTCGCGTGCGCGTCACCAGGATAAAAGTATTAGGAAGTGATCGAGTTCAGATGAAGTTCACAGAATGTTCGAGGCCCGGCTACTCGCAGGAGCCGGGGCCGTATGTTATTTTCCGTTTAATCTAATGTTCCGTTTATCACAGGCTTCGTACGTCTCGACAATATATATATAGTCGTGCTTCTGTACTTAGCCCCCAGAGTTCTCCCAATTACAACTAGGCTGGTATCTGGTTACCATTGCGCGAGAAAATACTCTACGTTGTGCCGCCATCTAAAGTCTAACAACTTCTACGTGCCGTCACACCAGGCCTGCAGGCACAGTGTTTTTGCACCCGCGTGAAACAAATTTCCATTTCCGATTGTATCTTCTCCGATTTCTTTCGGGTCTTCACCTGTCTCTGCTGTGCTCATGGCCCATACATTTGGCTTGCAAAAGATATAAGTTCCTGTTCGTCTGCTCCTTTTCCCCCAAGTTATTCGTCCTATCTCTCGCATTATCATTGTGTGTTTTTGTTTTGGCATTAGCATTCGCTGACTCGACGTTTGCCTGCGACAGAGACCTTGGTATCTCTTCTCTCGTTCACTGTGGCCGTCTTTTCCCTGTTCCACGTACGTGCCTCATCGTGCTTGTAACTTTTATTCTCGCTGAATCGTTGTCTCAGGATGTCGCTTACCTTGCATGATTGCCCGCCTCATGATGGTGAACACGAGACACCCACATACCCATTGATTTATGACCCGTTGTATTACCCTGATGAAGTATCCGTGTTGTCCGCTGTTGCATGTGATCTACCATGGCTCTCTGCATCACTTATGTGCTACAAAAGCAACCTGAACTGTTTGACAGCTCCCATCCCGTGTGATGCTGCCCCCAACGCGTTGGATGTAAGCGTTCTGAGGCACGACTGAAAGCAAACAGTGTCCTTGCAATTTTGAAATCCTGCGGACGGAGCTTGTCAGTTCGTCTGATGATGTGCTTACACAGCGTTTCTCGATGCACCTACCCAGCACTTCTCTCCAAACTCGCACGACATTGATCGCAGCAGCTGTTCACCTTGCTTATGGTTCCGATGTTGCAGCTGCACTCTGCCGCTCTCCAGTGATAGTAGCCTCTTCTCCAACTTCGATTCCTCCCCCCTCTGGCATATTTGACCTTCACCAGTATTGGCTTTTCTTTTCCCTGGATGAGCTCACCTGTGTCTGGAGCGTCTTCTGTTCAATCATGCATTCGTTCTTCGTTCTTTCTCAACCTCGCATCAATCGCTTTCAGGCTTGCGTTCACACCGTCGGTCATGTAGTGTGCTCGCCAACTTCGTACGCCTAGGGGCTAGATTCGAATGCGAAGGTATTGTGCGAGACATATCTAACATATTATTCCTTCCCCGTGTCATCCACGATGACACGTGATGCTATGTTGGACGACAGAGTTGCAATTGGGGACTGGCGACTCGCTGCCGGAATTGGCAAAATGGCCGAGCGTTTTTGGCCTTTTTTGGCAACTATGTCGACATGGCGATGACGCAAGTTGGTTCCGCGGGATGTTATATAACGACGAGCCTCGTTTTCTCTCTTGCCATTCTCCCAAAACCACCTGTTCAATAATCGATAAGCTCGCCCTCATGGCAGGACAATCAGGGTCGCAGGATCTTTCTGTGGTGGCACCCCTAGCGCTCACACAGACACAACATGACAAACTTGATCAAACTTTACCTGACACTAACTCCCCCACGCCCAAGTTACCTCGAGGTCAGCACAGGCGTTCATCCATAGTTTTTTGATCTCACGTTAATGGTATCCTAGACACAGATGAAATTCTTTACGATTCATTTAGCAGTCCTTACATTGGGCTAGCCGCGGGCGGCTTTTACGAGTACCTGAAAAACAACAACATCGAGTTCAGGACATCCTCGAAGTCTTACTATGGCAAGTTCTGTTCGATCGTTCAGAGTTCTGGAACAGGAAAATCAAGACTCATTCTCGAGGTGAGTATTATAACGTGCATGCATGCATCAGGTGGCCAAAATTATTGAGTTAGCTCCGGAAAAAAGGCGTCCTTGTTTTGTACATGAACCTTCGCGAACTAAGTGACAGAGGTTTCCCTAACCGAGACCCGGTGCCTGCATGCATCTTGACAGAATGTACAATGGACTGTACTGAAACCGAGTATACCGCTCGTTGTTACGCCTTTTTTACGGCCATATTCCAGGTGCTCTGGTGGGATCTGGGCAGCAAGATACCTGCACTGGACTCTCGTGATCTTGATGTTGCAATCAAAGCATGGAATGACGAGATGTGTGACATGCACTCAGAGGCTCGTACCAAGTTCTTTGAGATGGTGGATTTTCAATATAACATGGTGAGCACGGCCAATCATGATTGCTTGACAGACACTGGCAGAACAATGCTGAATTGGAGAACGTTGTCACACAACAGGTTCTAAAATCACCACGCCAATCCTCTGTTAAGCAAGCTTTCCGAGACATGGTGCAAGCTATGCCGCACATATTCGCTGCAAGGGAGAAAACGAAGAGGAATGAGGAGGAGAGGAAGGACAAGTATCTCTTCGACGAGCCAAAACTTGTCATTGCATTCGACAAGGCATGCCCTCTCAACAAGTTGAACAGTCGTGGCATCCGTCTATCGCGTATTCTCTGCAGTGTGATTAGCTCCTACTCCCACGATAACACACCAGTCTGGGTCGTGTTTGCATCTACGACCTCACAGGCGGCCGATTTTCCACCTCCTCAAGTGATTCGTAAGTACCTGCTTCATGTCCCTGGCAGTTCCTAGTATTCACACAATATTGCAGAAAATTCCATGCGGGTAGTGCAATCTGGGAATTCTTCATATCCACCTTATCATGGACTTGGTTGGGATCAGTTTGCGACCCCTCTAGGTGATATGCCAGCTAATGATATCGCAAAGTTTTGCCATGTCGTTGGATTTGGTCGTCCACTGTTTGTTTCTTGATTTTATGCTCGTGTTCAGTTTTGTTGATCCCCGCGAATAGGTGGAAATCACTCATGCTAAATGGTGGGGTTCTGAAGTTGGCCGGTCAGAAGCTATGCAACTCTATGGTATTTGATTCTATGGCTACCAATCAGGCTCTCGCCGTACTGGCTCAGAGATTCGCTCTCGACATCCGCTTTGGTCATCGCGATACTGTTTCTTACATCAAAACAGCAGTGGCTAGTCACTTGCGTGTATGTTTCTCGACGACCGAAAATGGGCTCTGGAGTGATACCGGTTATCCATCAGAGCCCCTTCTGTCTTGTGTCGCAGCAATGTTACTCCATCAATCACCTGACAATTTGCCTAATGCTTTGCATGTCTTGGAGAACAGGATTCATAGTGGGATGGTCGAAATCGGACAGAGCGGAGGGTTGACTAGCAGACTTTTGCTGCTTCTTGCTAAGGATCTCTTTGTCCGCCGAAACCCCCCCGAAATCACGATCCAGCATCTACTCTATAACGGAAGTGAGCATGCCGAACTGCTAGACTGCCAGAAGGTCTCTGTCGTCGGGTTCTTGGAATATCTTTTTGGCGCGGCATTCTGGTCGGACTCAGAGGCAGGAGAGGAGGCCAAGACAGCTTTTCAGCATGCCTACATCAATTTTTCTCACTGGATATCCATGGAAGAGTTTATCTCGCCTGCGGACAGTGATTTCGAGGAGTTGGCAAGGTAAGCTTCTAAACGTTGTTCGAGCGAGATCATTTCTAAGATATCGCTGTAAAGTGCTAGATGTGATCCCGATGAGTGGACTTTGCGACATTGGCATCGCACAAGCGCGGTGCAATGCTGCCCTCTGCAGCCGCTGGTCGACAAGATGATCCCTATCTATTTTGACGATCCCAGCCTAGGCCCCGATTTGAAACGCATGTCCCAAATTTTCATTTCCGACAAAGTGGGGAGGATTAGCGATATCGGAGATCCAGGGTACGATAGTACGCGCACGCATTACTCGATCGAGTGCCAATCAGATCTCCCCTACATCACTCTCCTTCTCGACCTCAATGTGGACTCGGACCCGCAACTTAGCGCCACGTATCTGAAGAGGGACCCGAGCCATCCCGAAGCAGGCCAATGTCTGCGGATCTACGCTTCTGGAATGAGCGACACCACGTTTCCATTCTTAAATCGACATCCTCCCGTTGCGAAAGGGCTACAAGAAATTCTCTCTCGACAGAAAGAAGCACCGTCGCAGACGATCCACCAAGCCCTCAGGAGTACAATGCGCGACATGAGGTGGGAGGCATAAGAAGGGTTGTACTTGGGCCATTGAGCGTATGTTTTAGCTAGTCAGATGTGTGTGCCTTGACGAGACTGGCTGTATTCAGAAGCTCCGGAGAGATGGTTGCAACTGACTCCTGCGGTCCATCGATGCCCGGGCGGCCCATCACAAGCTGTGTTGCACCCATGCGGGGGTGCTCCTTGATGACTTGCCGGAAGTGATGTGATTCCATTTTCGTCAGATGCAGTCGTCATGGTAGGCGAATGTGGTGGTGAAAGCCTCGATGAATGAAGCACACACCCTCTGAAAATTTGAAAAGATCATAAATTATACCACAATTATTATGGACGAGCATGGCACCACAAGATCACAATGCCTCAAGCTGTTTGGCAATGAGTTTCTTGGTCGTAGTAGGACGGATGACAATAGCACACAATCCACCCTTGGATTCATGGTTGGCACATACAATGCCGCCATTCAAGTTGCAGCGTCGATGAGTAGTACGCACACCTTCCTGCCACTCTAAGGCATCAAGCGAGCCTCTATGTTGCTTTCGAGGTGCACCTAGACCCTCGCAAGCCCAGTGGATATGGAAATCATTGACCTCAGGTCGTTTGGCATCTTCATGCGAGTAAATTCGTGTGATGTGGCCATCAGGCCAGACGTCCCATTCGATATCGCCACTAGTAGGTGTCTTAGTGGTGCCGAAGTTCGGTTCGGTCGGGTTCATTGCCCTATATCTGCGAACCCCGAACTCGACCATTGGTCAGGTTCAGGCCAGATGGCTGAACCTAGGACTGGACCCCTTCGAACGCGTTCGCAAGAGTTCGGTTCGGGTTCAGGACGCGTTCGAACCCTCGAACTGTTGCTTCAATTTGCAAAAAAAAACAATGTGTACAGTGTCAATAGCTACTAGGACCCTTCCTTCACAATGCGGTTATCATACGGAGCGACAAACTCAGCCTGGGCTGTCGCAGAGATATGCCCTTGACGGTATGCACTCTTGAGCAATTGAAGAGCCTCAAATGTTGTTGGTTGCAAGCTGCCGCGACGTGCGGTCCCAGTAATGCCGCCGCTTGAAAACGCTCGCTCGGACGCAACAGCCGAGCCCTGAATGGCCAGGTAGTCCTTCGCGATGCGGGAGACAGTCGGGTATTGCACAGAATGGTGCTTGAAAGTTTGTTAGTATGCAAGCAACACGAATAAAACAATGAGACATACCCCCCACCAGGCCACTACATTGTCAACATCCTCAAGCGGTGCGTCCAGATAGTCCTCGAGTTCTTGACGAGGCCTTCGCGTGGCTGTATCATTCACGATACGTGATTTCACAGAGTTGCGCATCCAGTTATGGCCATACGAGCCTTGGCGAGCAAGTGAGGGAGGTGCAGTAACAGACGGCCCTACAGGAGTCTGCGAGGAAGTACTAGTGTTATCATACATATTGAACTATGTAATATTAGTATACAATTGACATAAAAGAGTGATGAGCGACATACGACTCTCTCGAGGCATTGCATGCCTTTGTTGAAAAAATGAAAGTCTGAAATCCGCGTATAACTTGCCCTTCAAATTTGGGACCTCGTCACTCTCGTCAGCGAGCTGGATGAATCTGTTTATTCCCTGACAAATCAAGTGAGCAATGTATTCATGTAGTCATTAGTATAGTAGAGCACTTACTTTGCGCAATTGAAAAATACGCTGCAGCATGTTGAAAAGCGATGCCCAGCGTGTGCGAATCCATTTTGAGAGTTCTAAGGTGGGCTCATTCACTTCCGCGCAACACTTCTGAAGGAAGGCGCGCGCTTGAGGGGACTTCCGAACCTAAACAGTGTCATGTCAGTATACAACGACAGTTAGATGAGTACTTGAGTACTTACTTGTGCGACGAATGCGAGTGCCTTGCCGATGGTGTCAGGGTGTGGGGGTTAACACGATCTTTCTCGAAAGAAAAGATGGTTGTCAAGTCCGCGCTGCGTTCATCCTTCTTGAGGGATCTACGGTCTTCACGATCCTGGTCACCGAGCGTTTTCGTCTGTTGGTATGCTTCCTCTTTCTCATCGTCTTCCTCATCATCTGTAAAATCCTCGAGCGGAGGACATTCTTCTTCAGTGTCATCGTGATCGTGATTCTCTTTGTTGCTAGCGCTTCGTTTTGGTGCAGGGGCACCTTGAGGAGGTCCTGCAGCTGACCGTTTGGCCGGGACACTGCTAGCAGTCTCCCGGATCTTCTCCGTAGGTTTGGTGGCTCGACCCGAACGGCGTATGAAAGAGTTAAGAGTGCCGTTGTGCGCAGGGGGGGGAGGGAGAGGGGGAGGGGGTATTGGGGAGTCATCATCAGCGTCGTTGTACCAAACTATCTCAGTGGCATCTTTCAGTGAGCCGTCAGCGCGACGTGCGGACGACATGGTTGCCGAACTTGTGCAACACATTAGTGTATTTTAACTAAATTCAAAACCGTTGCGCACCTTAAAACGCCGAGACGTGAACATTCCGCATCATAAAACACCGAAGTTCGAACCAGTGGCAAGATTGCCAACTCAGAGGTGCCAAAGCATGGCAGAAAATAATTATGGTGAATCGCAAGCACAGACAGTACATTCTGCGATAAATGACATGAGAAGTTAGCAACTAGTAGCAACCAATTGTGATGGACAACAAACTAGTTGTAAACTTACCAGCGCGTTAGTGAGTCGCATTGCTGAAGACGCCGAGAAGAGAGAAGAACACGGGAGAAGGCAGAAGACAGTAAAGATGGGCAAGCACGATACTTGAATAGAATGCCTCACCCAAAACGTGAGGCTTCGCCGAAGTAGCACAGCGTTAGGTTCGAACCGGTCTAGACGCGTCTGGACCGGTTCACGTGGACTAGGATAATGCCGAACCTAGAACCTATCAGGGGGTTCGGTCCAGGAGAAATAACGGACCCGTGACTGAACCATCGGTCCAGTCCACAAAGGTTCGGGTTCGAACCTTGGTTCAGGACTGGACTGCGGCAGCACTAAGGTGTCTGGGGTTGGTGGGCAGCAGAGGCGCGTGCAGTTGGATCAGTCCCTTAGATAAATTAATCACAGCTCCAGCCTTGAACGTGATGATGGTACTTACTAGTAGCAGGTGGCTTTTGTAGGTTTTGTCTAGGTGGCTCGTGAGTCGTCAATCATGCGCGTAGTTGACTGACCTGAGAAGGGATTGGCCGATTTGTATGAGGCTGATCTCGCACGGGCTGTGGAGGCGCTGGGGGGTGTTGCAAAGGCAGAGTAGGGTGAACATCTAGGGTAGGCTGTGGAGGCGCCGGGGGGTGTTGCAAAGGCGGAGTAGGGTGAACATCTAGGGTAGTATAGTGCTGCGAGGCAGGCTGTGAAGTCACTGGTGGGTGTTGCAGGGGTGGTGTAGTGTGAACACCTGAGCTATAGTATTGCGAGTGATGTTCTGATTCAAAGACACGGACAGAAACTGGAGGCACCGAGTCAAAGGCTTGGCGCAGTGAAAAAAGGCCAAAATACACTCACCATCAACACGGACATGTTCATTGGGTGTAGCAGTACGAGGTTGCGTGGTCACAGTTTCTGTGTGACTGAAACCTGAGACTGGAGAACATCAGGATGCAGGCCTTTGAGTGGTCATTAGGTTACTCACCTTTCTTGACCTGAGAGAAACTATGGGGCACTCCCGCAGTATCAAGCTGCGAGGCGTCACACTTGCATGGGCTGCTGGGCTGAAATAAGTTACTGATAAAGCTCTGGCGGGTGTTATCACGATGCAATCGGCACAATTCAAGAATGAAACTTGACATCAACATACCGGAATCATTCTCATTCAGGCAAGCAGGGAGTTACATGCAAGAGGTGACAACGAGTGTGATATTATGAGCATAAGAAGGGATATGTTATCAAAAAAATATGCTAGCCCGATATTAGTGGCTGTGCCACATAGTGTGTTGCGACATGCATCTGACTCGGAGGTCTGAGTCGTATATAACAGATTGTAACTAGCAGGTGGCTGTCGAGAGCGACAGGTCATTGTAAAGTGGGTGCTCTAGAATCTATATGGTCTGAATGTCATTGTCTCGTACTATATTACTAGGACTCACTGCTGCCGCGCCCACTGCCGCATCTGTGCCGCAACACGCCCAACACGTCCTCTAAATTCAACCTCTCAAAGGCATGTCCGAGAGGCGTATAGTTGATGAGTTCGACGAGTGATACTGCTAGGTCAATTATGCTGTGTACGATTAGAGTAGTTGTCGGAAATGAACGTTGAATGTATGTTTCGGTGTGGTGCAGCAGGTACTAGTGATGCGGTAGTGGTGCGGCAAGTTGCGGCAGTGACGCGGCAAAATACCTGAGCCCAATTCTTGTGTCTTATCTGAAAATTTAGCATTCTCGGGAATCCAGGTTCAGTTATTCTCTTCAGTCCCTTTCCTGCCCAATACCTCCAAGCCAGACGACCTCTTCATATACTAGCAGGTCACTCATCACCGTGAAATTTTCGTGAACGTGTCCACTCTAACTCCTAGCTTAGAGGCCTATTATCGAGAAGGAACGGAAGTTTACCACTGAGGAGTCGGCGATTTGTTGTAACGGCAGTGAACCTCTTGGTAAGTTTTGGAAAGTATTAACCATGACTATGCTTACCTTGGTACTTATCCAACAGTCGAGATGATTAGCTCTCATGTTGGTCGGCTCTCGGATGACATCCTCCTTATGATATTCAAGCTGGTGCGCGAGGAAGACCAAGCTGCCTTGGATGATTATCTCGAGAAAGAAAATGCCATCATAGGCAGACGTTGGGACGATTGGGGACCAGGTGAATTAGATGGATTAGATGAATTAGATGGTGATTATGAGCAGTGGCGATTCGAGCTAGCAAATTGACTTTTTGCCGGCAATATCACTGATGACCCTCCACCTCGATCAGCGCTCTTGCAAGCCACACGTGTGTGCGAGCATTGGCACTCACTCGTATCCCAGACTCCATCGATGTGGACTGTGCTGGAAATCTCCTTCCGTGAAGGTGCTGCAGCTCTTGAGCACGCGCGGACATTTCTCCAGCGTAGCGGGTCATGTCTCATACAAATCACAATTCTTTGGGACAACCCCGCTTGGATTGTACCAGTATATGAAAATCTGGTTGAGAGGAGTGGAGGAGTATTACCACCCCAATCACGTGAAGAAATTATGGCCGGTGTCCATCTTGGCTCTGTCATTCAGGAGCTACATGCCCATGTGCATCGTTGGCATGAGTTTACGCTCAGGACGACCTCCATTGCCCACACATATCAAGCACTTTCGTTGATGTCACGCCCTTCCGTCCATCCAGCCTGTGGACTAGAAAAATTGCATCTTCAATTTATACACAACTCACGTCATGCAACTCATTTTATTGGTGAACCATCACTTTTCCCCGGTTCAGCGCCTCCCATCCGCGATCTTCTTCTTTTTGGCATAACCTGGGCCTGGCCATCATCGTCCATGCTATCGTCCAATCTCACAAACCTCCGGATCCATTATGATACCCACATGAATGAATACAATTCACGCGCGGGGCCTGAAGCAGAAATGTTGTCGCAGCTCCTTGGCGCACTCATCAACCTCCGGACTCTGGCGCTCGAGGTGAACCTTCAATCTTTTGATACACACACCATCAAGTTGCCTCGTTTGCATAGCCTGGCTATCAAGTCGCGCACAATCGACTGTTGGGGCACGGAATTTCTCCACAATGTTCAAATGCCTGATCTTCGGATCTTGACCTTGTGTGTGACCGCAGAGCAGCTTGACGACAGTATTGAATATTTCCTTGATGAGTTGGTCAATCTTACCGATTCTGAGGATCCTCTGGAGCTGGATGAACTCCACCTCTTCAATTTTGCACAGTATGTAGATGCTGGGTTCCTTCATCGCCTGTACACCCAGATGTCCAAGGTCAAGACATTGACATTAGGACCAGGGGAGGACTACAACAATCTCGTGCTGGCAACGGCGCTGCTCCCCACATCCAGCAGACTGCAAGATCTCCCTCTCCCTGGACTTCAGACACTTGTTGTGTTTGATGTTCCAAAACAACTCATACGGTGCATCGTACTAGAACGCCAGTCGCTTGCTGGTCCGTTAGAGGAGCTTTACTGTAGTTACCCTGAGGGCAACGAGACAGATGATTGGCAACTTCAAGTCAAGAAATTCTACCGCATTGGTCACCTGAAGTCCACCCATTACACTGATGTGATTGCCAGGCAGTGGACATGTTTAGTCTAGTGCCTCATTCACTTACAATGTACGTAGCCTACCGCCTAAGGGGTTGAAAAACATTGTAATCCAGCCAAACTCATCTCACAGGTCAATACGAGCAAGTAAATTTGGGGCTCATTAATCAGTAGTGATAGATAGGACCTTCGCAGTGGCAATTTATGGTGCCCAATGATCGCTGGTGATTTGAGCAGAATTCGTCTATACCCACCGCTTACCAGCAACTTTGGACGCCCTCTAAACATTGTCCAATACGCAACTCCTGTATACACAGTGCCGGAGTTGGCTTCTGGGTGAGAATTGGATTCCTATCAGCAGACTGTCTGGTGAGCGATGGCTTGTACGCTTATGTTGACGGGAGCAGAAGCCAAAAAAGATAAACAGGCCGACTGACCAGGAATATTTGCCGTTGCAGGACAACTCGTTTTAATCCAAAGATCCTGACGGGCTTCTGTCGCGTCATGGATCATCTGTTATACTTGAGACCTTCCCGGCGCCGACCATGTCTTCAAATACCAGTATAAAACAACAGACGCCAGCAGTCATTGCACAGGAACAAGGTGTTGTGCACCTGCCTGGGGGAGGACCATCACATGTTCGAGGGACGGCTCGCTACGACCATGGGACTTGGAAAGCGGCGCACAGATAGGTGAGGACTGGCGAGATGGCAGGAAAAGGAAAGCAGCGGTGTGCAAATGACATTGTCTCCAAACAACAAGACTGTTGCCAGCAGAAGTCAAGATGAAAGTGAAATTATGGGACGTCGAGATTGGAAAGGTCGTCACAAAATGGACAGGGCACAGACATGACAGTGTGCTGTGAGTGTACTGGAGTGTGAATGCTAAGCAGCGAATCCTCGGACGGCAGGACAGTCCCCGACTCCACTTTAGTGGAAGAGGGTTCTCTCGCAAGGAAATGACTATTTCTCTGCAAACGGACCCGTGGGTGTGGGAAAATATGGATGTGGGAAAATGTGGGTGTGGGAAGATGTGCGCTTGTAATTAGTCGGTGGTCGATGTTGTGGGTGGGAAAGCATCGCGCTGTCATTTTTCCTTTTTCTTTCTCCAACAAAATACTTGCAGATACACTGAAAAAGCACGCACTGCGGCAGGCACATGTTGAGTATAGTTCGTTTGTTTCATTCAATGCAGTATAGCTAATGCGTGTTCAGGGTTTTTATTACAAAGATGCCTTGTCATTTGGCTCGAGTCCTTGATGAAGGACACTGTCCTCCTTTCGACGAGCCCCACGATGTGAACAAATATCCCCGTTATTATGATGCACTCTATTATCCACGATATAATCTTGCGTTTTTTGAAACATCCGAACATTTTTGTACATGGTTGAAGTCTTCGCTTAAATCTCATCCTCTGTGTTGCTCGACGTGCCGCTGGTCAGATTTTCATGGTTGTGTTTCGTACGACGGCGTTAGTATCACTATATGCCATCAACAAAAATCATTGACCATGACGCCAGGTGAATTTGCAGACGCGAGTTACCGTCATTGTGTTGTCTTTCGCAAGCTTTCCTCTCGTGATGCCCTCTCTGTCGAGAAGTGCCTGCCTTCGAGGCTAGACGCCTACCCTACATGGTTCTATTACAGCGAAGAAATTCAAGAGCAACATTTATCGGTCCTTCTGGATGGTGTCTTGGTTGATTGTGTTTCTCGTCTCTCTGTTTCGCGAGGAAAAACGAAAAAGGATCGCATGCACGCGGTGCTACATCATTTTGCTGCCACCCGACTACGAGTGATGCGTTCGAGTAAGGATCAACTGCAAACATTACTTTCCCGCACCCCAGTCGTTGCAGAAGGTAGCCAACTCGTTCCTCGTTTGGCAAGGTACTTCGGCGATATGTATGGAAAACCCGTTTTTGAGGCTCTGTGTCGACCACCGCACCCACAGGTTTGTGTCTTCGATCCTGTCGACGTGCCGAAAATCAGTTGGTCTGCTCTCCCGATTACACATTTAGTCCAGAGGCTTCATAAACTGACTATTGAAGTGCTTTCAGATTGTATACATGGTCTACCTTCGAAGGGGCGTCCGTCGATAAACCGCCGCTCACGTCAGAAGACTTGCAATGGTCTTGCTGTTCACATTCGCGATCGGGTGAATTTCTTGCAATATATCGGTCCAAGTACGGTGTGTGATATCTTGCTTTGTTACCTACCATTGTCTCAGCCTTGTCATCAGTTAGACGAGGAGTATATTCTGCAAATCCTGTCGTTTGAATATGGATCTGCTGTGGTGGAGCGTCTTGGACATCAAATACTTTCTCAGCCCAAACCGCGTAGAGACAACCCCCGCGATGTCAACGGTTCTCGTATATACCAGATCATGCTGCAACATATGCAACTTCTGCCTTGCACTAAGTACACTCAGCCTGTTTTCGTGGACTCGCTCAAGGATAGGAAGAGGAAACGAAAGGCCGCGGACGAGACGACGGGGCAGTCGCCCACTAAAAAAGGTTCTTTTACCGGTGTGCCTGACGAGGACGAGTTGGAGTATACTATGGTCGAGTAGGTTCACGCGATTGTCTTTCTTGGTGGCCTTTTTTTTTTCTTGGGCTCGATTCTGCCGCTCGAACTGTATAAATGACCTATACTATCTTGTTGTTACGAATATCTGCGAATCGTATCTTGTATGTGTTTTCTTGCGGAGTCGGGGATTGGCGCCCGCGCCGCTACGATGAGAATCTGGGATCTCAAGAATGGAGAAACAGTCCTGATAATCAAAACCGAGCATGTGTCTGTACACCGTAATCTACTCACGCGACAACACAAAAATTGCGACGTCAAGGATGGACGAACCAGTGATATCGATCACCGGCACCACACTCAAACACGATTGGACAGTTTGGAGCTTGGCCTGGTCGGACGCAAAGAAACCGGCATCCGATTGGGATGTTCGACACAGTCACTTGACAGCAGATGTCGGACTCGGATGGGGAAGGTGAGAAGCTTTACAGTACTATGTTCGTTCCATGCTGAAGTTGTTGCTCTCAGATTTGCTCCGTAGTGCTTATCAGTGGTATTATTGCTTCCTACGCATTATCCTCGTCCATTTAAGTGCTGAGTGGAATAGAGAGGTCCATGTACATGTAAATACACTACCCACATACAGTTTATCCTGTAAACATGATGCCCCCTACAGAAACGAAATAATAATAATAATATGATATTGGTATTTAAGGGAGTGGTGATGGTGGGAAAAGAAGAGCCGCAGGGGTAATACTAGCTGCTTCTTCATAGGCGAAGCGACCCCCACCCCCCAACTGGGTAGGTGTTAAAGAGTCAAAGGTCGGACACAACTCGTACCATTCCTCTGTAAAGCAATTCAGCCATAGAAATGCTGTCTCCTGAAATATGACCTACGTGGTACGGGGTTCACATGTGCAGCGGTATCTGAAGGGCTTTCCGCCATTACTACGGCAAAACCGCTGGATGCGAAAAATCAGTCATTTCTTTTACGAGGACGTTCAAAGACATACGCATCGAGGTGCCAGTCAATGTGGCTTTTGGTTCAAAGTTAGTACTGTTCATGATGGCTCAAAATAATAATAATAACACACCAATGCAAGAACCACGGGCCAGAATTGTCGGTCGTCCATCGTATCACCATCTGTTGCCCCGCAGTACCAGCGCTTACCACATCACGGCGAACTGGGTTTACATAATTGAAGGTACTACTTTCTGCGCTCTGTACGACATCGAATGAGTGCTGATGACCATCATCAGTACCAATCAAATATGTCATCGAAGTCAAGGTGAACTTACCCCATGAAGGTGTATGGGATGCTGGTATAATATAAATCAGACACATAAGCATCAAAGGAAAGGAAAAGACGCACGGGTCCACCTGGACCAGATACTATTTTCATTGTCAACTCCACCACTTGGTTGGCTTTTAGAGGGATCACACTCCCGTTTGGAAGTAGATTAAATGGATCTACACCACTGAGAATTTGTTGTAGAACAGGAACGGTGGGTGGTTCGAATGTGGCATTATTGACAGAGAAGAATCCGCCGAGAGAGGTAATCTGGAGGTCGAGGTTGATATCTGCGTTCCCGTACCCTGGAATGCCAGGAGCACCGGGATTTATTAGAGTATGTAAGTTGGTCTCTACCAATGGGTTCTGGATTGTCGTCTGGACCGTGGTCGGGTCGACCTGCGGGGCGCCTTGGTAACGCAATATAGCAGAGTTCGTTCCTCCTTCGAAGGATGCACCCGCCAAACTAGGAAGACTGCGTATCCAGTAGTTATCCACCGGCTGATTGGCTACCAGAACCACAGAATAGCGCTGACCCGCAAGAATCTGGAGTTGATCTACAGGTAGTGGGTCGGTCAGCTGTCCATCCGCTTCGATGATGGTGAAGTTGTGGCCATCGATGGTGAAATTGAAATTAGGGTCGCAGGACATTGCGACCAGTCGCATGCGGTATCGCTTTCCCTGTTCGACGTTGATCACAGCCAGGTCAGACGCGGGTCCGCCTGCATAACGACCCAGTCCGTTGATAAGCGAAGAGTTGGCGTCGGTACCTATGATGTGGCGCAAGACAGGGGCTACAACGTGATACCTAGTGACACTGCTTTAGTCGGGTACGTTACCAATGTACCTTAAACTCACCAGTCGGAAAGTGTGATTACGGTACTTGCTGGTAACACATGATGGTCAGAGGGTTCATAGCATGCACGGACGATTCGCTCACCATTGTCGACATCATACATGTATGCCAAAGGGTCATCAGGGTCATAGATAACCAGGGCTCCTCTCAGACCATCGCACTGTCCCACAGGTCAGTCCTCCACCACGCGAGTAAAATGCGAGAGCTACTTACATATTGGACGGAGTAATGACTGTGATACCAGTAAGTACCTGCTTGGTTCGGGGCGGAGAAGTTGTGAGTAAAAGAGTTGTTCTGTGCAATCGGACATTGTGTGACGAAGGATGTCCCGTCGGCGTAGTTCGTCCCATTTTGGAAGATACCATGCCAGTGCTGCGGCAAACAAAGTGAGTCAATGAAAGCGCGGGTGATTGGCACTGCTTACGACACTGGTACTCTTGAACATCGTCTCGTCTGTGAGCTCGTTGACTACCTGAATGGAAAAGTTATCTCCCTATTGTGAGGTCAGCACTCGTGCACGTCAAGGACGACAGAAGCTCACCTTCTGGGCTGCAATCAAGGGTCCAGGGAATATGCCATTGACGAGAGTCGCTCTGTTAAAGATGAGGAGCGAGCCCGAGGAGTGTCGTGGCAATAGACTCACGAGCGTTCGAAGCCATCTGGAGCGATAACATTATTACCTATGGTTATTGTGGTTTGTGGACCTAGTACAGCGGGCTGAGAGGATTGTGAACGAGGGTAGGACTGTGAACGAGATACTATAGATGCAGCATTAATCAATGAAAAGAAAGAAGCAATTAGGATAGGAGTAAGCATCGTGATTATTCACGATAGGCCGCAGTGCTCGCACCCGGGAGAGTAGTGGGATGTAGGATAAGATGATGATGCAAGAAACATACCCCTCTCAGCTTTTATCTTGCAGAGGCAGCCTGAGGTATCCCGATTCAAAGCAGCTGTACCTCGACTAATGACGACCGGCGTGTAATCCCTCCATAAACAGTTGCTCAGCAATTCCCAGCACTTCATGCATTTTAATTTCAATACTGTACTGCTCTTAGAGTTAGCAACTACCTGCCGATACATTGAAGAATGGTGGCGTACCATACTTGTGTCACGAAACCATGACTCGGAGAACATAAAATAAGTCAGATGGCCAGGACAGCCAGACGGCCGCAAATGTCCCGTAGTAGTGGCAGTGTCAGGTTGCCACATCAGTTCAAGACAACTCCTCGAGCATAGTAAAAAAAGAATGCAGATGGCTAGTGCTAGTCAAACATGCCGCGCGGGAAAATCTGACTAGATTTTGTCTGAAAGGAATGATCGCACGCTATATTATAAGGGAGCTGAGCACTAACCTGTTCACAACTTGGAACTGAACAAAGCAGATATGGATGACATCTGTGTTAGGCAGCGTGGATAATTATAATGGTTACTCCAGAAGGACAAGTATCAGCGCGGAGGTTTTGTGCTTGTCTACCTGACACTGTCGCAGTGCGACGGAAGGAAAGATCTGAGGATCAGGCAGTGATCAGACTGGATTCTGGAAAAGAGTACGCATGTGCCTTCATTCTCATTCAGCAACGATCAAGAGTTTGGTGCACGACGGACCAGCTTGAACATCGATGCTAAAGTTAGACTTAGATGCATTAAAATAGGATGAGGGCCTGGTTGCCGCAGGATGTACTAGAGTGCACTAGTGATGGCTCTATGAACCTTGGCAATGACCGACTGCGCGCTAGACGCTCAACTGTCTCGGCAGAGAATTTTGAGGAGAGGCGGCCGGCGGCGACAACTGCTTTGATGATGGTTGCATTATTGAATGGTACAAGTCGGGCTGAATTTACCAGCTATGCATATAATGAAATGGGCACTGTGGGAGCTGGCTGATTCCCACGTTAGTGGAGGTATTATCCCTTACGGTCACTTCGTGATCCACCGTGACTAAGTATGACAACTACAGACCCGCTTAGCTACGTCATTCAGTACATTTAACATATTCTTATGATATGTACATCAGTTGTCGTCAACTTCGAGCAGGCAGCGAGGTTACACTTGCCCCCACAATTGCAACCGTTGGTCCAGCTCCCGTACACCGCTACTAGACCACCGAAAACCTATGGTACAGCCCAATAATGGTAGAGGTGTAAAATAGCCATGATATATTTTTAAGTGATTGCCGTTGCGCGGCTGGACTGGAAACCACTCGTAAAGGGGGGCGAAAATACCGAGGTCGGATCAGACAGATAACGTGTAAAAGCGTATGTCGTCTGATATAGGAAGTAGGCGTCGAAGCAAATATAGAGGGGCGGTGTCCAATCTAGTCAGCCAAGTTAGCAGCCCGCCTCGGGATTCAACTGCACAGGTTTGTTTCTTACATCGATATGCGCAGTGTATCCGTCCATCTATCATGCGAACCCAGTATCTGCGTACATGGTACGTCGTAAATGTGAATGAGCTATATAAAGCAACAAATAGTTCAAGTAGGTTTAAGTGTGAGGCGTTGGCTGCATGCAGCGGAAATTGGAACTCGTGCGTAGGCGCTGAACGTGTCAACTCGAGCTGTATTGCGCAAATGATGGTTGCGACAGATATAGAGTCGAGTACTATAGATCAGTTGTGCGCGCGAGGTGCTGCCTATTCTATAGCAAACTGCTTAGCAGCGAAACCCAAGCCAGAAGTGTCCAGCGGAACGTGGCGAAGCAGACCACGTCCTTAGAACCTGCTGCAGGCACTCGTCTGCTAGGATGAGGAAGGGCCTCTTAGCTAGGGCAAGAGGGATGCTAGGTGGCGGGGATGATGGCAGTTTCGAACCTGCAAAAGTTCTCACCAATAGGCTACCGCTACCCCAACTGCGCCGACCATCTCGTTCTGTTTAGGAATGATACTACTGAGCCTATACACCCAGTGGAAGAAAAATTTCCGAGGCACGACTCCAACCGCATTCGGTGACCGGCTAGCTGCTCACGGCGAGAATGACCCACCGGGAGGGTAATTTACAGCTGGAGGAGGGCTAGTGGGGGATAAGAAGCTTCAGATCGTATCTGGTGGCCTTTAGCACATCCAGACCCTGGGCCCACTCACCCAAGGAAGCCCAATCGACCGTTCCCGTACCGACCGGGAATGCGTCTCCATGAGACAATACTGGATGAAAGCCGTCAGTAAAAATGGAAACTGGAAGGCACCAAACGACACGAACATTTACGTTCGAACTCGAAGTTTGGCAGATGGAGGCACCATGCGTTACATCGAGTGTCAAAGATACACAGCGGTCCTGTAGTTGATGCTGCAAATTTTGACACTAGTGGCATTGGTTGTCAAGCCTTAAAATACTAATTTACCTAGGAAACAATTGAGGTTGCTCAATTAAAGAAACCAATGCAATGATCTGGGAACTTATGATGGACAACATAAGTTAACGTGACATTGTATATGAAGCTTGAAGCTTGAAGAGTCAACCGGCTTGGTGGTATTAGTAGGTAGGAAAGGACCAGTAAGGATCACTGTAGCGCCAGAAGAGTGCTAAATTCCCACGATGATCATGGCGCGGATTTACATGATGGGTGCCGGTGATGGATGGAACAGATATGTTCCGAATGGATTTAAATATAGTGATCGGTCTCCAGCAGGCGCAGTTGAGCGCTGAGCAGTGGGCTTCAAATTTGCGCCCTGGCACGCGAGCCGCATGCAGGTAGTCGCCGCTCCAAGGTCATCGGATCTTGTAGAGATATGACCTATTTTATCGTACCACACGAACTGAGCCAAGGCTTCATAACGAGTCTCCTGTGGTGAGATATCTTGCTTCCGGTGCACGGAGCTGTAGGACACCTGGTTAAGCTAGAGCCGGATGAACGAGAATTGCTCAGGACATCTTGTAGCATTTCAATAGTACCGGGCCCATCAAGCTTTAAAGGAGTAGGTTGGGTGCTGGATATATATTCCGGACAAGTTCAGCTTGCCACTTGGGGCAAGTGTGGATGGGCCGAGGATGGGCAGCTATTTAGTTCCAGTAGTGAGACAACACCTCTCAAGTCAAATACACACACCTACACCTCAGCCTCCCATACAGTGTTAAGGGTTCAAACCCGACATCTCGCTCATGGAAATAAGTGCAGAGATAGTCCCAGAGAGAATGAACACCTCTGGAATAGACCTCATGAGCCTGATTCTTTGATAAACAAGCAGAGCTTACCCCCTGCAAAATACCTGAATACCATCGCGTCGATCACTAGCAATGCGTAAGCTAAATGCTCAAGGAATTGAAAGGCTTCCCATAATTTCCAGTATAATGACTAGGACAGACTACGAAATATTGGTTTCGGACATACATCGTAACCAAGACTGTATTCAAAATCACGAGTTCGACAGTCACGTGGCACGGGCTTGGTATGGGCAGCATGGATGCGTCATCAGCGCTGTCAGCGCTCAGCCGCAGTGATTGCATGACAATACCTATGGTATGTGCAATTGAAGTCCTTCCCTTAATACATAGCCTCGATTCTCGGAGAACCATCAGAAAATCGTCATATCAAGGTGAGAGTTCGAGTGCAGCAAATTCTGAACATTCTGAACCTCCTTCAACATCGGTGTCAACCCACGCATCAGGATCAGTGGTATCTTCCGATATCAAGTCTTTTGGCTGACGTGAGAGGTCAAGCGGGAAGAGGGGTCGTCGCGGGCTTGACAGGCGTCGCGAATGATAATGGGTCTTCATAGAAGGACCACGGAACACGTCTTCCAGATCATTTTCTCGTTCTGCAGGCTTTGAGTTCTGGCTCTCCCTTCGACTGAGCGAACCTTTGACTTCGTGCAGGTGAGCTGTCCGTGCCAAGCGTTTGGTAGATTTGGGAATGATGAGTCCTGTTGATGAATGCGAGTTTGTTCGCACCATATGGGCGGCGCGGGGGAGTGTGGATATCTCCGTGGAAATAGAATTAGGTATGCGGCGGGTGGGGGTGCGGAGTGTAGAATTGGCAAATGGAGGGCCGGACCGTTTTGTAGCGGTGGAGCCGCGCGGGGTGGATCGTTTATCTGCGAAGGTAGTAAAATGCGGAGGTCGGCGTGGAATAGGATCACGATCGGAGGACCGTTGCGTTCGATGAGACGGAAAGTCTACAGGAGAATCTGGGCCTGAAGGACGACCCTTTTTAGGGTCAGATCTCTTGCCGACAGGAATCTCAGGACTGCGATTTCGGAACAGCATATTATTCGAGCCAAGGTCAGCGTTACTGCTAGCGAAACTTAAGTTGCGCCGGCCCCATTCTCTCGCAGAACGAGTAATGAGTTGAGGGGGTTCTATGGATGGTGCACCTCTGGTTAAGCCAATGAATACAAGCACTGCCAGAAGTAGGCAAAGTTGTGCGATCCCAAGACGCTTTTCAAGTGTAACCTTGAAATATCATGAGCAACCATTATCATTTTCAGGACGTGGAAGCCAACCTCTTCAGCAAGATAGTTTACTCGCGAGAGTAATTCACTGTGTTCGAACTCCAGACGAAGTCGCTGTCTTTCCCACTCGTGAACTGTGCGCTGATACATTTGTGCCTGTATGCGACTCTGAGAGATGTATGAGATAGGTCGTTCAAATTAGCTCTGGTGGAACTCACGGCGCTCTGCAACCTGCCAACATCTTCACCGAGCCTCCTGAGTACTTCACGTACACCAGAGGTCTGCTCCTCCACATAACGTGCATACAGGCTATGATTTGCCTCTAGGAGAGTCAGTCGGGTCATGATTGTGCGGTATATTGACTCTCCACCTGATCCGACGGGTGGAGGGATAGATAATGTTGGCAAGGCTGTCGCCAGCATGTTCGCAGATGGGCCGTGATGAGATGATAATGATGAAGATTGCGATAAAGATGCTTCGATACTAGAGGTATGCGGGAGTTCTGAAGAGATTAGATATGGGGATTGTGTAGACGTGCTCTCATTAGGCGAGAGGGATGCTGTAGAGGATATGGCGGTGTCGAAAGACGCAACGCTCGTCTCGGAACTCAATACAGATGTTGAGATAGCGGACGAAGTAGGCTGCTGCATGATGGCAGAGTCGGTAGGAACAATGGCCGGTGAAGATGCTGTGGATTGAAAAGAAGAGTTGACCGAGCTATACGTCCGGTTCACCACCTTGGATGCCTGAGAGCTACTTAGACTCATATGTGCCGTAGACAAGACCTTGGTTGTTGGAAGTGGGGTATCAAGAGGATACGCAGAAGGTATGTTCCGAGCCTCGAGCTCATCCATAAACTTGTTCAGTTCAGATCCCCCAGAATTGATGGGCAGGGGCTCCGTAATGGAGGAAAATACTTGAGCCTGAGCTCGGGCGAGTTTATGACTCTCTTCTTCCCACATGTCCCACTTCCATTGTTCAAGATGGGTCAAACCATAGACCCTAAGAAGGGAGACAGGACAGTAATACTCATGTCCATAGTGTGAGTGAAAGTCGATCCGGATGTACCTGTAGAAATCGCGCAGGGTAGTTGGCGTGTGGAAAGACTGTACCTTGGTCAACGGCAAGGTTTGAATATTGGGGAGAAACACGCGCCTGCACACCACGGACATTCTTTCCCTTGTAAGTACCCGCCAGTACCCACCCGTCATCAGACGTCGTGTAAGTCTTTGCAACCTTCACCGAAAAATCCTTGAACACTCCGCTGAAGAACTCGAAGTTCGCGAGTTGCACGGTGTCAATTCTAATGTCCTCGCACAACTCTACAACCACGAACTGTTCCTCCTTGCCTGTAGAACATGGCGAAAGCATATATTTATCCTTTTTTGATGATAGAATGGACGAAGGAGACTTGGCAGAGCGATGAGAAGTGTGTACGCGTGCAGAGCAATCTAAGTTTGCATAATTGAAACGGTCGGTGATAGGTACCCTGAAATGAGGGGAGAGTGCCGTTTCCGGGAGGTATGCAGACGTGTCCGGCACAGTGACATTAGTTTCGTGGGTAGTACTTGACTCCGTGTGTTCTAAAGCTTCAATTTGGAGATGAGCAGTTACCCGAGGCTGGGTCTGCGACTGCGGTTTGGATTGGTACTGGAACTGTTTAGACTTCCACTCTTCAAATGAGAGCAGGACATCCTCGACATCATCTGGTGGTTCTATTGACGGAGGTGGTGTCAGGCAGCAGAGAGGCGGCTCAGGTTGCCGCTTGCGATGTGCGAGAACTATAGCGCGAAATGGGTCATTCTTTGAGGAGGGAAGAGCGACCGAGATGGCAAAAGTTGACGAGGTAAGCAGGAGAAGGAGCAACGTCTTGGGCAGTGCCGTGAAAGAAACCATCAATAAAGTTTCTGACAACCACAGCCTTTTAGGTCTTCCAAAGAGTCAAAGACAGCTAAAGCGACATGGGTGCTTCCGATAAATAGTTGTAGGAAGTCTAAGGAAGACGCTATTTGATCGCCACGTCGGCGATTCTGAGAAACACAATAAGTATTTCGGTCGCTGCCCCTGGGCCTGACAATCCTCAACGAGTAATTTAAACACAGGTTCACACAACAGAGGGTAATCATTGACCCTGGATGTATTATTCAAGTAGACGATACATGCAAGGACTATATTTGCAAGTATAAACATGGATGCATTAGACGGAAAACAGCATGAATGTTTATAATGAACTCCGTCATCTTTCTAAACGTCGCACTGTAAAGTCATGTTAATAAAATGAGTAAAAGTCAAAGAGAAACCATATACCATTCCTATCAACTCTCCAGCCTTGGTATGCATGATGAGTGCAACAATCAAGCCTACAGACGATTGTTCAATACAACACACTGTCTATAAAAATATCATCTTACCGTAAAGACCCAGCACTTCAGCGAAGATGAGAATCAAAATCTGCACACTATGTTAGATTTGTTCTTGACAAGACCAAGTTAATGAATATTCACCATTCCAACGAAAAGTCGCGGCTGTTGTGCAGTACCACGGACACCAGCATCACCAACGATACCAATGGCAAAGCCTGCGGCAAGACCAGCGAGACCGACCGACAAACCAGCACCGAGGTCAATGAATCCTTGCGCAAGGGTCATTCTTGCCTGCACTAAATTGTATCCAATTCAGCATTCAGAATGATGGGCGGGAAAAGGACAGAACACACGTGAACTGGAAATGAGGACGGATACCACCAGACCGTAGATCTGCGCGTTATCAGAACCGACGGGAGTTAAGATGGAGGAAAGCAAAAACATACACCGATAATACCAGCCATAATAACAGGGACAACACATCTCATCACGAGGTCCGGCCGGAGGACACCCATAGCAGAAATACCAACACCAGACTTTGCGGTACCATAACTGCGGAAAAATGTTCAACACACCACAAATACTGCAACCCAAAAGTTTCAGACCTTGCACCAAGACCTAGCGCACACAAGCACAAGGATTGGTTAGAACATCAGAGCTTCTGACAACGTCTGCTCATGAGACTTACAGGCGAACACAATTGAGCAGGTGCAGCCCTACAAACTCTTCAGTCTCGAAAGCGAACAAGGAGAATTTAGAACTGACCATGGCACCAAAGAAGGGTGCGTAGACGGGACAAAGGTCAGACATGATTTGTACTTTGACTTTGAAGGAAGTGAATGAAGACGATTGGGCGACGCTGATAAATGGCTGAGTAGACGTAGTTCGAGTTGACGACGCCGTGGGGAGAAAGCCGATCGGAGATTCAACACCTCGGCAGCAGCCATTGTTTGGCAAGAGCTTTAGAACTAAACAACCTCCTTCTCCCTTTGGAAACTTCCAACTGCCCGGAGTCCTCGGACGGCGTATCCGACTGGAAAGACACATAATGTCTGCTTCTTTGAGATTCACCCGAAGGGTAGGTCTTTTATAGAGCTTGCTTGCGCGTTCTCACAGAGGAAACTATGCCAGGTGTGGAAATCATTCATAGACAACAAAGGTATTCCCACCAGACACTTTTTGGCGCGAGTCGCTGAATACAGCAGCTAGGGCATGATGCTCAGTGTTTTCCAAATGTAATAGTATACCATCTCTACTTGTATCTAATACTGACAAAGTCTTTCAGCTTGTCATTCACCGCGCAGTCCCCGGAACGGTTGATTTTTCACTGAAGATAGATCAATCTAATTGTACGTACTTTTCTCTCCAGCTTCCATAACACTTATCTCTCTGCAGTAAACAGAGTCGGGGTGCGTATCTCAATGTCCCATAGTATCCTACTTATTGATACACCAAAGCAGACCGTGCACGGCGGCCTAATCCTGTCGCTGACTGATACCCTTGGCTCGCTCGCTGTTGCAAGCAAAGGTCACTACATGACTGGTGTTTCGACAGATATTGGTGCATCCTTTATACGACCTGCAGGCAGGACAGGCGATACCCTTCATGCACGAGCCACACTTACTGCCATGGGTAAGTGATGCAAGATTTGTTATAATGTTCTACAAGCTCACCAAACCAGGGAAATCTTTGGCCTATACTCGTGTAGATTTTACCAATTCTGTAGGTGATTTAGTGGCGTATGGATGTAAGATTTGTCTTTAGCACGCCGAGACACTTCTTGACTAATCGCATTGCACTAGATCACACGAAATATGTTGGGAAATCGTCGTCTGACCCTGTGAGTAAAACAAATAATATTTTCTGGCTCAACAACATGACAATTTTTCCGCAGAACAACGTGAAGTTTTCGGAAGATGGCGAACAAGTAATAGAAGGGAACGATGTTGACTGATATAATTTTTTTGTTTTTACTGTGATCGTACCAAGTTTTAGAAATAACAACATTCACTTCGCACAGATGATCTGTGGCATAAACAAAGGGGTGGATCGTCAAGAAAAAATGACAATGTAAGAAAACAAACTTTTTCAGTGTAATGAATGTGAATGTCTCTATCGATCTGCATGATGCAACAGGTGGAGCAGGCGCAAAGCTGTGTCTTCCTCGCTCGCCCTCGTCAATGAACTATCCATCTTTCTCGATCTACCAAAGTCGATCAGGCGGAAGCTCTTGGTCGAGTACGCCCGCTGGATTGGCCACTCCGTTGGCTTGCCCTGCTGCCACAGAATGTTCCGCGCTGCGAAAGACTCGTGCAACCACCCTGCATGATGGAAGCGGAAGAGAAGCGATGCGCATTCTTGCTTGTCGTCTATGCACAACTCATCTGGGTTTATCTCCTCGCCACAGCACTCCAGGAGTAAGATCGGACTCAAATAGTTAGGATGGTTCGTGCCATCAGTTGGATCATCGGGTGTGTAATACCCGTAGAACTGCGGGCAGAGTGCCCCGACGGGGACAGGATCGTGCAGAGGGGGCATGACATTATATCCGTTCCAGTGTTCGAAGAAGTGGTCAGGGAACGATTGATAGTTGCTCGCCTCCCGAGCGAGGTGGAGGTCGTGTTCGATTGAGAGTTTCGCAATAACAGAGACTGTCGCAGTGCGCGGAACTGTCCCCGAACCGCTGCCGCCGTGTCCACATCGATCCCAGGCGGTTTGCCACTTCTCATTAGTGTGGATGCGAAGAGCTGGTCCAGAGTAAGATGCGACGCGGACGACCCTCGGAGGTTCAACGGTGAATATTTCTTCCTCGCTGTCTTCTTCTTCAATCTGTTCACCCTCACCTTCTTCTCTGTCAGCTTGTTCTTCATCCCCATGATCCTGCTCTGACTCCTCTTTGCCTTTCCCCTTGTCTTCCTTGGGAACAGACCCCAGCGTGTCCGGCTCCTCAGAGTTCTGAATCTCGTCCACCTTCATCTCAACGTCAGGTGACTCTTCCTGCTCCACTTTGGCTCCGGGTTCTAGATCCCGCCCGTCTACGGCGTCCGTTTCAACATCGGCATTGGCATCCCCTGTTTGAGCTGGGGTACTGGAAGAGTCCGCAGGGGGATCTCCGTCCGAAATTGGCGCCGATTCATCGTCATTAGCATTGGTGGACTTTTCATCACCCGGTTTGTCATCGTCTGGGCCGATGAAGGATGCAGTCACCTGTGGGAGCTGGTGTTCCTCGATGGTAATGTGACCAACCGTTTGCTTCGAGCCAGAGGCTTGCGAGGACTCTGTTCCGGGGGCGACATCCGGGCCGGTCTGTAGGGTTTCTTCAGGTTTCCCTACCGGATTATTTAAAAGTGCTTCCCATTTCCCATCGTCCTTTAACTTCTGAACCTGTCGACGGGCGTCCGACTCCACACAAGTTCTGCACAGACGAGGCTCGATGAAAAGGTCACGGGGAAGCTCCCAATCCACACTATGCACAACTGAATGATTACCGGAGCCCACTGCACTTGGTGAAAGATAGAGATGAGCTTCTTCCACTTGCATCCTCTTCCGGGGTCGCGGAGGAAGCAAGATTTCAATTAGCGGCTCTTCCGTCGGTCCTTCCTTAGTGGAGGGGAAAATGTGTATCACGCTCTGTTCCTTCGCCGCTTCGTCTTCCGCTATCTCGGCTAGTTTCTGTGCCTTCAGCGCAGCCTCTTTGCCTTGTGGCGCAAGAGAGAGGGAATATGTTCGGACGATATTTCGATTGCCAACTTTGGAAAGCCACGGAGTTTCGTAGTTGGTATCACCCTCATCGATAGATAATTTATTCCAAGGGTCGTGAACATGGAGCTTTTTAGGGAGAAGATATAAGGGAATCCGCTGCTGGAGAGTCGGATTCCCATCGTGCGTGCACGGGATGAAGGGATGTGGAGAGGGATAATGATCTGGATGAAAGGGCGAATCGATGTTTGGCAGTGGCACGGCAGGTTTTTCTGTCGGTTTGTCCGCAGGTTTCTCTGTCGGTTTGTCCGCAGCTTTTTCTGGCGACGTTTCGCCTGTTTCATCTACTTGCATGACGTCATTGAGCTGCACGCCTGCGGTTGCATCTTCTACTGCATCATCGTTAGCAGCTTGTACTGTCTCCTCTTCTTGCTTGATACCGACACTCTCGTCCTGATCACCGACTGGAGGGATCGGATCCTCTGCATCTGTGACTTCTGCTATGTAGCTAGACCCAGAGAAGCCTGATTTTGCCTTCTCTCTAACCTCCTTTCGGCAGGAATACTGATCGAATATGCCCAATCTGACACGTGTGTCATAGCATAAAATCAGTTCCCCGATGTCAGCTACTGGTATCTCTTTGGGATCCTCTTCCCGATCGGCCCAATAGAGCTCCTCCTTCGCTGTAAGCTCACCAGCCTGGCGCATCCATTTCGCAAGTCTGCTTCCCGTGGAATTGGTAATGTAGTTTGGCACATTTGGGAGACGTCGAACATGGTAGAAGTCGTAGAGCGTTGCACCCCATAAATCAAGTCCATTGCCGGCCTCCTTTCCCCTCAATGGAGATGGCTTGATAGCTTGTCCATTAGGATAACGAGGCCAAACGCGGAAGATAATGCGATTCTTTCCATATCCAACGCAATGTGTGTCGTTATCGTTTTGATCTTGGATAGACTTGGGGAGTTTGTGGGGGTTGATCGTACTGAAATCAGTGTATTCGGCTCGTGAATGTTCATCCAGGCTGCAACGAAATGGTTCTAAAGTGTGCAAGCATTGATGATAGCGACATACCCCTCTTCTTTAGCACCCTTTTCTTTGGATTTCTTGGACGGAGGCCCCTTGGCAGACTCAGAATCTACAGCCTTTGCGACGCGTCGTTTAGCCTTTTGGGTCTTCAAAAAACCCCGTTGCATGGCGGAATTTGATAGAGTTGATATAGATGGGATGAACGATCCTAGGGGGTCGCAAGTCGCAATTCTACGACACTGGCAGAAACGTTGAAGGAGTGAGATCAAGGCCCAGAGGCAGAAGAGCGACCGTGATAATCAATGACTTTATGTAAGTAGTAGTGCGGGCGTCAAATATCAAGGGGTGAAGTATTTCCTAAATAGTCACCTCTTCTGAGTACAGTTCTATTTCACGGTTCACCTGTATGAGGAAGGCTGTTCGTTTATCAGTTGATTATCTGGACTTTCTATGGATGATTCTCAAAAGCACGTACAGTAGTTGCACTTGCACCTAGATACGCGAGAGGCTCGAGTGAAACCGTGACAGCCCCTAGCTGTTGACAACGAGCTTTCGAGCTCTTAACACGAATGATTGTAAATATCTTGTGACAAGTAAATGAGGCTGAGTGAGTGATGAAGACCACGACGTTGGAGAGCTCGAGATGGATGTAGTAGACCAAGTACGTGGCAGGAAGTCGGAACAATATTATTGTTTAACCGTGACATCGTCCGGTATTTAACTCACGTGACTAGGAACATATATTTTCCGACGGACAGAGTGAGACTGCAATCACAAAGCCAACAGCGATCCTCCGAACGTTTCAGAAGCAGTCAGATACCCGCATCCAAAAAAATCATGGGTTCTTGTATGTCGAAATTTACCGGAACACAACACACACGAGACCGTATGACTCCTCAATGGACCTCCGAACATCGGAATTGTGCTTCCAATACCAGCAGGTTACAGCCTCCCCTGCTGGGGAACGCAGTAACCCATGTTTAGATCTTGCTCTTACTATTCACCCTGTTGGCTTCTTGTTGGTCGGTTGCACTCAAACTTTCAAATACATCAGATCTAAGAATAACAGCAGATATGATATCGCTGCCTTTTGTGCCTGGAATGGTTCAAGTATCACAGCAGCCATGTTTGCGACGACTTTAGTGCTTCACGAGCGCTGATGTAAAGGTAAGTGTGAACAGTGAGTGGACTTATCGGGAAATGAAGACCCTCCACCTTGGTATTTCATCTTGAACAAGAACCATGGCCCGCTACTTATACGCCCGCAGGCTGGGCGGTGGACTGGCCAGGTGTCACATGTATGGATACCACGTATACATCATGTCGCACAGCGGGCGGATCATAATTTCGAAGATGATTTCGACCTCAAAAAAAATGGGTCGCGCTACCACTCACCAACTTGGCAATCTCGTGGCAGTAGGTACATACTGAAATCCGAGTAATCCCCCTGTGCATGTCGATAAGCTATCGTCGGAGGAAGACCACGACATTCTTGGATTATTGCTTCTTTTGGTTTCCTGATAGGCAAAATATTTAGAGAGGTATGATTATGCGGCTCTGGTCCTCACCTAATGTCACAATTCCCTGGTCTTCCGCACACAGGCCAATAGAAAGTTGTTCCTTCTATAAAATTATCTCTTCGTTAACAAGTTTACATTGGCCACTGATAGCAATAACCACTCACTCACTGACCTGTGTTCTTGGATTTAAAGCGTGGTTGCGTCATTGACAAACTTAAACAAGGGTCGTATCCTTGCTGTCGTCCTTCCAGGCAGCTACAACCTATAATGGATTACAGTGAGTAGTCTTTTGATATCGGGCCTGTCGACCTAATGTGTCACCTAGAATTTGCTCTATGGCTTGTTCCCTCGGGAGAGGAAGCTGAGGCACTACGCTATTTGATGGAATTCCGACCAAGGCCTGATAAACCAAGGAACGACAAACCAAAAAATGTCAAATCCAAAGATGTCAAACCAAAGGACGATAAGCCAAAGAGAGACAAATCAGGCGACAGCAAATCAAAGGATGGCAAACCAAAGGACGGAAAATCAGAGGACGGAAAGTCAAAGGACGGAAAATCAAAGGACGGAAAATTGGAGGACGGAAAATCAAAGGACGGAAAATTAAAGGATGGCAAATCAAAGGATGGCAAATCAAAGGACGGAAAATCAGAGGATGGAAAATCAAAGGACGGAAAATCAAAGGACGGAAAATCAGAGGACGGAAAATCAAAGAGCGATAGGTCAAGCACTCACTCGATATCATCTCGCTCGACATCCTCTTACTTGAGATCCTCTTATCCGAGGCCATCTTACCACAGACCACCTCGCTTCGGAGCACCCCACTTCGGAGCACCCCACTTCGGATCACCTCACTATGGATCACCTCACTTCGGACCACCTCACTTCGGACCCCCTCACTACGGATCACCTCACTATGGATCACCTCACTTCGGACCACCTCACTTCGGACCCCCTCACTACGGATCACCTCACTATGGATCACCTCACTTCGAACCACCTCACCTCAGATCACCTCACTCCAGATCACACTCCAGATCATACCCCCGCTTCGACGCTCATATTACCCTCGCCACTTTCTCATGCCCGTATCGCCCTAACACATTTCAATTGGTGCCTATGGGTGCCAAAACGACTCCTGTGCATTTCGAGTCCATGCAGGTCGGAGACGACTTCCTCAGCTCATTGTCCATCGTCACTCAAAAGTCCAGCGAGCTCATGCAGCTACGCGATCGTATTATGGACCACCTGAAGGCGAACAACATTCGAGTCTTGCCAAACCCTTCATTTCCACGCATGTCCTTGTTCTACCTAGATGAATCATTCAAAGGAGAACGCTTGCTTCTTAGCAAACAACTGCGAGAGACAGGAAGAGTCCACGAAAAAATAGGCGGGGAGAAAAAGATGTCGCTGAATTGTAGTGTGGATGGTGCGGGGCCTGAATTCGACGCCATGGTAGGATTTGAAGGAATGGAAATATGGCTCGTTGATTGCACTGAAGGAGTGGAAGATTGGAACGTCCTGGATAGACGGTATCTCAAGCCACGAATGCCCAAGGCCAAGGTCTACGTGAAAAGAGGCGATCCTTACATGAATATATTTGGGAGTGAGGGGCCTGATCCTTACCAGGTCAGAGAAATGGCGTCCCATATTCCGAGATGGGGCGAGCCCGGACATTCTGGTATATACGGGCCAATGGCACCATATTATCCTCTGGACCCAAGGTAGCGTGCGCCTTCCTGGCTGTGATTTGCACTCAACATAATTCCAACCACAGATATTATACGCATAATCACGCACAATGGGAAGACCCGAGGATGCGAGGCAATATGTATCCAAGTCAGAACAGGTGGGGATATGCCCCCAACATGAATGGATACCGGGAACTGGAAGGATACTTTTGAGTCCACCGGCGGCATTTGTGCACATTACCTGGTATTGGCTGTAACGCTCCTTAAATTAATATCGTCAGTTACACTTGCATTTAAACTATAGATGATATAGAGATATAGATGGATAGGAATTTACCTTGACGGTTTTGACATTACAGCGTGTGCACTGTGGTCGTCACGGTACATCCTAATCTATCGCATCCCAAAGGATCTTAAGAAGACAGGATTCAGGATTCCTGCTGCACTTCCTAAAAGCTGTGAGAGTGCAATTTACTCCTTCGCCGACTGTCGGATCGATTACCATCGCGGTGCCCTTCTCGAGTGAATGATATCGATGCATCGATATTTGCTGCTGGGCTACAATTGCGAGTTGTCACCTGCGGACTGCGGTCATGGGTGCAACTTAAAAGTAAAGTGCTGGCGCAGTCTTTCAAGCATCGTGAATAAGGTTGTTTTGAATGTGTACAGATCGAGGGCAGAATTTGAGAGAAGCTGTTGGAGTTACGTATCGCGGTTGTTCAGAAACCGGCATAGTTCGGAGCCGCCGGCTATTTGCCCGTACACGCTTTACAGTACCGTGACTGACTTATACGTGGCGAGAGCACTGTCGGCTGCAACGTGCTCAGCAAGCCCTGCTGAGCCAGCATGGACGAAGCATCTGATGTTATGCCCAGTGAACTGCCAGTTGAACGCCGCCAACGTCACACGCGGGATCGTACGGCTTCGTTGAATTCACTTTCTCACTTCAAAAGTGCATCGTCCAAGCATATACGACCTAGGTCCACCCTCCGCAATCGTGGTTCTAATGCAAGCATGAAGAGCGTTGGGTACATATCATCCTTCCAAGCTTGAATAGTGCTTATGTATGTCCCCCAGCTCCGACACTGACCACTCGGAAATTATTTCCCCCATTCCTCGCCGACATCTCCTGCAAACGTCACAGAGTCTTCATTGGCTTAGGGTTGACACGTCGTCGGGAGATGAATGGCTCAACAGAGGTGTCTCTCCCGTTTCCGCGTCTTCAGTCGGCTCTGTCTTCCCAAATAACAGGATGGCCAATCGACTTAGCTTCACCGCTCTTATGGAACACGAAAGAACCGCCGTTGGCCCATCATCCACGGCTGATGCGAGGATACTTGAGGATGATCAGGGAACTATTGGAGCTGGAAGGCGGTTTGTGAGGTGGATGCATCGGAATAATATGAAAAACTGGGTCGTTCCTTCAGCTATCGTTGCATCTACCTTGGTTAAATGGTGCATCGGATTCGGAACATATTCTGGTGCGCATAATCATTGTGCGCATACTTTAATCTCAAGTCGCCGCATAGGCCACAATACGCCACCTATCTTCGGCGATTATGAAGCCCAGCGACATTGGATGGAGCTTACTGTACACCTCCCCGTTAGGGAGTGGTACACTTATGACTTGCAGTACTGGGGCCTTGACTATCCTCCTCTGACTGCATATGTTTCATGGCTATGTGGAAGAATGTAAGTCTGTCAAGTAGAATTCGTTATACTATCTCTATTTATCTTGCGTCTCAGTGGGTCTTTAATCGAACCTTCGTGGTTCACGCTACAGGCATCTCGCGGCTTAGAGACCGGAGGAAGCAAGCTATTCATGCGAGCCACTGTGGTCATCTTTGATCTCCTACTTTATATTCCAGCATTGTACACCTTTGTATGCGCATGGCAGGGCACGCGATCATGTAGGAAACGAGTACGTTCGTCAATCTATTGTCATAACAGCTCCAGATGTTTATGGTGGTATCCTCGTGTCGCGAGTAGCACGCTGCGCTGCTCACATTACTGTTCCATCCAGCACTTCTGTTGATCGACTTTGGTCATTTCCAATATAACTCCGTCATGTTAGGTAAGTCACTCTTTATTGGTAGTATTTCTGATTCTCACTAGCATTTTCTCTCAGGTTTGACGCTACTTGCGATTAACGCCTTCGCAGCCGGACATGATCTTTTGGGAGCTATCTTCTTCGTCTTGAGTTTGGGTTTCAAACAGATGGCTCTTTACTACGCACCTGCGGTCGGCTCTTACCTGATTGGAAAATGCATTTATCTAGGCCCCGTCCATGGGTAAGTCTGTCGCAGCTGCAGGACTGCTTTTAACGCACTAAATATTCTCCAGTACTCGCCTGTTTCTGCGTCTAGCGCTGACGACAACACTAGCCTTCGTCATCATGTTCGCACCCTTCCTTCCACCCTTCTCTCCTCTCTCCACTATTGCTGCGCCTATCATTCGCATCTTCCCGTTTGGACGTGGTCTCTTCGAAGACAAGGTTGCCAACTTTTGGTGCTTTACCAACGTGTTGGTGAAGTGGAAGCGAATATTTGCTAGCAGAGAAGGTATTCTGATCAAAGCATCTACTGGCCTTACCGCTCTTGGATTCTTACCTGCTGTGGCTGCGCTCATTTTCGGTGGTTACAAGACTCGGTTGCGGAAGGGCGCTCAAAACCACTCAGTGGACGTATCTCCTTCGATGGCACCCGCATCACCGTCATCACCAACGCCAATCCTGCCGCTATTACCCTATGCACTCCTAACCTGTTCCATGTCGTTCTTCCTTTTCTCCTTCCAGGTGCACGAGAAGACTATTCTTATTCCCCTCCTACCTCTCACACTCCTGCTGTCGGGCGCCGCACTCACTGACGATGTATTCTTGTGGGGAGCTTTAGGCAACAACGTTGGTGTCTTCAGGTAAGTAGTGTGCGATTTTGCATGTTCGCGCCGCTAATTGGGATGCTGTTCACTTGTAGCATGTGGCCCTTGCTCAAAAAAGATGGATTGGGACTTCAGTACCTTGCAATGCTTATTCTCTGGAACCGGTTGATTGGGTATAATCCATTCAAACTACGCTATGGGCATTTTGTGGGACTCTTATCTTCCGTACGAAGTGCTTCTTTTTCATGGTTCTATCACAGTTGATGACATCTAATCACAGGTGGTACATACAGTAATAATAATCCTCCACCTGCTCGAGCTTGCAGTGACGCCTCCTGCACGCTATCCCGACCTCTTCCCAGTCCTCAACGTCCTAATATGTACCCCGATCTTTGGACTTATCTGGCTTTGGAGCATCAAGCGTTCAGTGGAAGTGAGCTGGGCTATAAGCGGACTGCCTGGAAAACGCGAAAAAGAGCCTTCTTCAACTGTGTCTGCAATCAGCACAACCTCGTCGAGCGCAACGTTCGGGCAGAGTCCGATGCGTGGAGAGATGGGGGTGCGTGCGACGAGTCTTGGGTATGCAAGTGGGCGCGGGCGTGGACAGGCTGATGCTAGGAGACGAGCGCTTGTGACGAGTGCAGGTGGTGATCGGGAGCATTGAGCGTTGGGATTTGGCTTCGTTTGTTTTTATTTAAAGGAATATATATGATGGCGCATATCCACCTGGATTTCAAGGAGAGGGGGACTTCTCGTCCTCACACTCAGCGGCTCAATTCAGATGCTTCTCTCATTAGGTTGTACACAGTGACACGCACGTTGTGCAGGCAGTGCAGCTTCGCACTCACATCGGCGGAGGCCTTTCTGCACTTGCTCCGTCCATGCGTGTCCTTCGCTCTGGCAGGGATGGTCTAGTTCTCACCTCTGGGCTTCCCGACGAGATTCTTGCGATTGTATTCAAATACTTCGAAGATACACTAGTCCCTGTAGGTCTGATGCATCGGGTCTGCTAATTATGATTGATAGGTTGTGTATCAACTATACTTGTTGGTACACTTTTCAATGCGTCAGTGATGCATCGGAACACACTAACTAACTACCGGACTCTATTACCTCTGTTGTAGTCGTCCCTGGGCCGCTGGCCTATGCCATTAATGATTCTGTCGCGGGATCGTAAAACAGATCTTGCTCCCCATTTATATCTGTACTATGTAGATGCTCGCGAAGCAGGCTGCAGCAAATGAACGAAACTATGGAAAGCCAGACCTGAGACAACCGCGCTCAATTTTTCGTGTGCATGCTTCTCCCGACGCACCATATAAGGCATACGCTTCTATGGGACACCTGCCACTGCGAATCACAAGCGGCAGTTTGCGAGAGATTATTGGACCAAGAAAAATTCAATGACAATAGTACAAATGTAACAAAACATAACATCAGGTGTGACGACATTAAGATACGGCGAGTTCAATATATATCAAGCTTGCCTTCCATATGCCTCCAACTCGAAACCGGACCATTCACAGTAGTGGTTGCACACATGTTTCTTCTCAAACTGGCTCACCACATCTTCGATATTTCCATCACCGAAAAGATCGTTGCCTTCAGAAACGGACCTGGAATGAATGTGAATGTTTGGAGGTAAGGTCACAGCTGGGGTACATACGGGTGCGTCAATATTTGCGGGTCTGTCAGCAACTCTGTGCTACCTGTGGTAGTACACCATGTCAGCCGACAAAACAAACATAAGTAACTTCTACGCACCCTGATAGTCGGAGATGTATGCCAATCCCCCGTCTTCTCATACTGAACGTGTTGAGTAAATGCTAGGAAAAGCGCTGTACTGTACCCATCCTCGTCAGGATCAAGGAGCGGATTGCAGTCCGTGTTGTGAATGAATTTCACAAAGGCGTCTGGCCCACCTGGAATGAGCTCCTCTAACAGAAATGCAGTGCGGATGGAGCATGGTTTAGCACCCAGTTTAGTAACGATCATCTGGCCAGGTAGGAAGGACAGTGCGAGTCCAGCATGAACGAAACAAAGACGTGGAATCTCAAAAGGAGGGGGGGCTGACGAGGCCGCGACACAACGGTTAACGAAGGCGTAGGTAAGATCTAACAATGAATTTGCCCAGTACAGGACATTGGCTTCCTTGAACTGCTTGGACAATTCATTGGCCACAGCGTAGCATCCAACTTTGTACGTGCCTGCCGATGGTCCACTTGGAGGAAATATCTTAATGAAAGGTCTCTTGACTACTACGACTTTCTGATGCGGGATTGAACCTAGTCTGGTTGTAGGAATGTGTGATGCGAGTGTTAACCACCCAGGATGGGCACTCTTGAATCCACCTTGGCCGATGAGATTGGCAGAGGACGTGTCGACTGTCAGTTGCCCAGTCACCGATTCTGCAGTATGCAATGTGAACGACTGATATTTGTTGTTTTCCAGGATTTGAGACATCGGGCGAGTAGTGATCCAGTACAGCTGAACATTTTCATTCTGCAGGTCATACACTTTGAAGGGACATTAGCGCAACAAACAAGATACTCAAGACTTGAAACTCACCACTCTGTGCATCTACATTTGCTGTTCCGCCAGATCGGAGGGCTTCTTTCAACTCATTACGATCGGGTGACCGAAAGATATTCGTGGAAGCCGCTTTCTTTAGTGGCGGTGATGTGGAACTCAGGCTGCTGGCTGTACGGACATGGGTCCTCTTTGAGGGAAGCGGTACCCCAGTGGCAAGGTTGTCTTCACCCTGGAAGACATCAACAGAGGCTTTGGAGATAGCGGTAGTAGCCATTGGAGCTTGGCGAGTAGCCTCGTCCTACAAGAGTACCAAGTCAGCCTAGAAGCATGGGAAAAAGTAGTAGCATTACCTCTTCAGCTTGCTGAGTCCATTCTTCGACTCGCTCCGTCCATTCTTCGTATTTGCGCCACTGGCTCTCAGGTACGACGACCATGAGTGCAAACTGTTTTGTCTTGAATATCGGCGATTTTAAGCCTTTACGTCCAGCTTGAACGCATTGTGAGTAAAAATATGGCTCGTGTGCATGATGACCCGATAGATCCACCCATTGTGAGTCTCGGACGACGAATTCTTCATCCCGCCACTGAAAGGTAGGACAGAATGATTGAATCCTCGGACAAACGGTATCAAGGGTGATTTTGATGAGTCCTGGGGCGTCAATTTGAGCGTCTATATCTTTTTTTCCTTCACAAATACTCTGTATGTTGCGGCATTAGTGGTTGCATTGTGATAAAGTAGTTGAACACATACCCCAAAAGGTGTACCACGCCCACCCTTCTTCCGGCTACCTCCCTCATGAACAGCTGAAATTTTGAGCAAGATCATTTGAGATGGAGGAGGAGCATAGGATAGTTTTGCCCAACGATCACGCTCCGAGCCATAGTGGGCATGGTGTGGCGTATATCCGGTGGAACTATGCAGAGTTTGCTGCGATGATGGCTGCCACAAAGACGGAACACTAATATCAGGCCCTGCAGAAAACTTGGACCGTCCATGGGACAAAGGAATCACTGGCAGTGGATTGACCGACACTTGGAAAATCAGTCCAGCTACACCAGGTAATGGATATGACGACTTACGTTTTCTTTGGCCTGCGTTCACTGACTGCCGAATGACATGTGGATCTGGAGGGCCTCGACCAGCGAAGCCAGAACTACCACCACTGGCAGAGCCTGGAGTAGGGCGAACTAGAAATGCTTGTTAGTTATAGACCTTGTGCCAGAACTTGACTTACCAGCAGGTCGCACAGATGTTGCTGCCTTCTTCTGATAGTGTTCATGGCAAGGACCACAGACATAGCGCCCTGGTTTGCCGTGCTCTATGGTGGCCACATAGAAGCAAGGGTCACCCTTGGCAATATTGGTGCCACATGCAGGACGCTGGCACAACCGGTCCTCTTTTGCAAAGGCATCCTCGGTGTATTGAGACACAAGCTCGTAGTTAGACATAGTCACAAAGAATAGTAGTTGAAGGAGGAAACTGAAGCTCAGAGCGCAATGTCCAGGTTGCTTAAATGCACCATGAGCCACTTAATTTAGCTCTGCATCATATGTACAATAAAACACAAATATCCGACATTGGAAGTTGCACTGCAGAGAGTGAGACAAATAATGATGATGCGCAGAGAGTTGCGCTGCAGAGAGATCAGTAGTCAGTTATGTGCATTGTATATACATACCAAAGATCTGGAACATCGTTCACCGGAAGTTGCGCAGCAGAGAGCTGCAGAGAGATCAGTTATAGTACATTGTATATACAAATTTACGAGACCTGGCATGCTGTCAGTGCTCATATGACGGTGCTTGGCAGTACGTGCAGTTGTGACTCGTGTTAGAGTTTGAGTTGGTGTTCGCAGTGGTATTGATGTTAGAGTTTGAGTTGGCATTCGCAGTGGCATTTCAAGTGTACATGATTCAAGTTCTTTCAATCTGTCGCACTGATTAATATCTCTTCAGAATGATATTCCGATGGGTATTCATCCCGTGGTTGCAGCGTGAATTAGATTCTTACCAGGACCGGATCAACCACACTGCCAAAAGGCGTGATCGCAACAAGGTACTGCCACATGGAGTCCCAGAACTTATTTATCGGTCCGCTGAAGACTTTGGTGCCCTCGACTTCAAGGTGCGTACCATCTAATCTTCGTCTTAGGGAGCTGACCTTACCTCATCAATAGATCAAGGTAGAGAAGGCCGCTGTGGATCATGTTCGAGCAATGTACATCAAACCTGGACACCTGTTACGAACTAGGATAGTTCTTAACAACGACAACTCGACAGAGTTACGATCGTTGAGATTCGTAGTCTCCAGAAAAGGGGACTCTTCGTAGACTTAGACAAAGGAGTGCTTTGTCTAAGAATCAAGTATCAGACGACTTAAGATTGGAGGTCTTAAGCGAAGGATAGTTCAGGTAAAACCTAGTAAGATTAAAGTGCAGAAACTAGTAGTAATACACGTGCTTAAATAGACCAATATGTGCGCACGGACCAGGCTAATCGTGAGAAGTATACATCGTACAAGAAAGGAAGGCCGTTGTAAAGATGATGTGAAAAAGTAGGGCATAGACGGACAAGGTGTAAAGAGGCAACACGTGACTGTAACAACACCCTGTGTTCGATCTCGTGCCCAGTGACCTTGGAGACACTCTTCAGATATGTTACGAACGTTTGGGACGTCCTGTCGTCAATCACAAATCAGCTTGGACAGTGTATTTAGGATTGCTTCATATATTTGCCGCTTCCATCAAAACACTACCCCAGATGCCGCTCTCTGACAGTATTGAAGAAGATGAAGAATTGCCGCTCCTTCAGGAGCATCAAGACCTGCCATTTCATCACCTGTACCTGTAGGATTAATGTATCACTACCTACAACCATAAGACATTCGTGATACATGTATTATGGAGAGCTACAAGTGGTGTGATACATCGCTGTACAGTAGACTATAGGTTCCCGATGGCCCTAGTGCAATCCATTGGCCATGTCCGAGTATAGTACTGTGTTCTACTCAAGTTGTGCTCATGTTGTGCCCTGAGATTTGATCGAGCAATCTACGATCGAGCCGTCTAAGATTAATCGATTGAGCCTTGCTTCTCTTGCTGAGATCGAGCATCTGTGATCAATCTGCGATCAAGCCTGGATGCAAAAATGTGTATTGTGGTGCCTGAGAGTGCTGCTACACTACAAACACTATGTATTGTTCAAATCAAAACTCCATGACCGCAGGAGGTGCGTCAATTGAAGGACCACTGTCATCCTCAGAAGCCGGCGTAGAACTCATAGAACTGAGATGAGAAACAAAGCTCCAACGAGCTTGGAATGAGGTCCGCATTGCAGAACGGAGTGCAGCTTGACGGTAGGCATATGCCTGCAAGCCCTCTTGCTCGGTAGTCTTCTCCGATGAGCGCAGCATTGTGCGCTGATGCCACCAGGAACCTTGCCATTCCAGAAAGGCCAGTACTCGTCTCATTTCTTCAGCCAGCAACTCTACTTCCTCGGACCATCGAGCTGCGCGTGCGCGTGCCTTGCACCATTCGATACGAACACCTACATAAAGCAATCTGAGTCAGCTGTCGATAGCATCAACCAGAAACACTCACAATCTTGAACACTTTCATTCTCGGATGGACTGGTGTCGACATCTGTCGTCAGCCAGATCCACGAGATTGTCCCAGTGCCTTGAGTGCGATCACCTGTGAAATTGCCCATAGGCCGAATGTCCTCGTGTCTGAGGGGTCGAAGTGTTGCCTCCCAGCCCATCTCATCCAACCGACAGCTTAGTGATTCTATCGCTTGACGAGCGCACCTGTATCTCGCTACTGCCGCATCTTTCTTTGCTTTAACGCGTGCAATCAGATTTTGTGCACGGGTAGAAGCTGCTTGGCCCCGTAAGTTCTTGTCTTTGAATTTGTAAATGTGCGAACATAGACGAAGGTGGGAGCGGAGCTCGTTGAGGGCATCGTGAGCTTGTGCCTGCCGAAGTTTCCATTCGTGCTTCATTAAACGGTGATTGCAGTCGAGATGATTGAGGAGAGCTGATGGTAGATAGAGTGGAAAATCCTGTGGCTTAAGTGTTTGGGGGGAACCTGGACTTGGATTCGTTGATGAGCGCAGCGTGGAGACAATAGGCATATAGAGTTGTTGATAGCGGGTCCAGGAATCGATGCGTCTCTGTAGTGCATTAGTTCTATGAATGATGGCCTCTCTTTGATTTTCTGTGGGATGAAGCGAGAGGTCTGAAATGTCGCGTTTGAGCCGTTGTCTGTCATAAGATTTGAACAATGACTCGACACATGTTGAAAGAGAGACGTCACATACTGCAAGTCTTCTAATTCAATCCCACCACTAATGAGGACGCTAGGTGAGACATTGTCGTCGAGAGAGTGGTTGATCCCTTCCCGCAGCTCTTGTGCTTCCAATTCTGCAAGCTGTGACCTTACTGCGGCCTGCGTAATAGCTACACATACAGCAGATCATCAGCGCAAATTCATAGAATGTGTGGGCAGTGACGTACGAGCAAGCTTGCTTTCGAACGGATTTGGGCGAGTGTTGTCCTCCTCCCACATCTCGACTTCTGTTCCCCACTCGTCCAGAAGCGCAGGCTGAATTGTTCCTTCCAAATCGTACAAGGCAACACGATGTTCCCGTTCCCACTTTATGGTGTTTTCCATCTTGCGCTTCAATGTACGGCCTTGAGAGTCTGAAGTATCAGTGAGAGAAACATAATACTCGACAATGAAAACCCACCAAGTGTCGTCGTCTTTTTCCAATTCCAATCACCGAAGTGATCGTCTAAGGTGTCACGTCGAGTTCCTGGCCCCATTTCCTTCGTGCTAGATGTGACACGGTTGGCACTTGCCCAACCTCGTTCTGGTGCTTCACCGTCAGTCCTACCTACCCACTTGGTAAAGTTCCAGGAAAATGTGAGCTGACAGGCTGCGATATGGGCTGCGATATGAAACTTCGGTATGAAATATCGAACCAGCACATCGTCACGAGGTATATGGAGCCGAGCCGGCATGTGTTCCATTCTGTTCCATAGGTTTTTTGACCATTGACAGGCTATATCATATGAGATATTTAGCACGGTCACTGTGAATCCGACAAGGGCCGAAAAAACGATATAATCCATATTTAAATACCTTGTAACACTGTCAGCTGGCTGAATGTGAAAAAAGTAGCAGAAAACATACCTTTCGCCTTTTTGTAGATTGCCTACCCCATTTGGCAATTTGAATTCGTGTCGAGCGCAATCGATGGTACCTATACCAGTAGCTGCCAAGCCTCGCGAAGATTTCGTGTCAGCCATATTAACTGCGTTATGACTAACACAGGTACTGCGCTAGTAAGGAAACATTAAGTATGTTGGCCCTCAACAGTCCAGACTACATACACACCTCTTGTCGTTCATTGGCTCGCTCAGATAGGTAGCTCTTGTATGCACGCTCCTCCACAAAATAGGCCCATCCTGTATTTAAACCAGGATCCACTCGGTCGGAGGAGACAGCCTTCCGCTTGAGACGGAAATTCGCATCTATAGCGACGAAGAGTGCGTACAACCATCTGTCAACCAGGGTGAGCAAGACATTCTCATCAAACAATCAACTTTAAACTTGCCTCGTTGCTGGAGGTGAATTCTCCCAACCTTGGGGTAAATTCTTGCCCGCATGGGGGCATGCTGGACAAACTACCGCAAGTTCGCCAGCTTTTGTTTCTGCGACGCCACCAGGGTCGTGACCTCGGCCACTACGCCTGAGTTGTCGAAGGTGACGCCACTCATGTACTATCCTCATGAACGCTGAATAACCACATATTACAGTGACCTATCTCCGTATAATACGAGGGAACGGACATGCATAATATCCCGTATGATACGGGCCAGCGGACCATGGGCCCATGATAAAAATATCCTCGACTATGACGGATGGGCCGGGAGGCAAATTATTCCCGATGGAGACGGGTGGGCCCATGCAGGGAATATATAGAGTAGATGAGTGGGCCGATGTACATGAATATTAGGTAGACGGGTGGGCCGAGGTAGTTGGATATTATGCAGATGGGTGTATTAAGGTAGATGTGTATGAGATAGATGGGTAGGTACTTGTTATCACATTCACGGGTGGGCCCAGACACATATTAAATTAGACGGGTGGGCCGAGGGTATTATAAAATATTGTATTAGACGGGTGGGCCCAGACGCATATTAATTAGACGGGTGGGCCGAGGGTGTTGTATGGGATGTTGTATTAGACGGGTGGGCCAAGGGTGGTATAAAATATAGATGGGTGGGCCCATGTGTATCATAATTGTAGACATGATGGAGCTGAGGTAGTTGTACATCAACCAAATCAGAGGAGGTAATAAATCAAAGTTACCAAGTTCCCGGAGCAGCAGGTGATCTCCTGACATGGCCTTTGATGGTGCACAGGTTGTCTTGCAGAATTTGGAATCCGGGGTGCGAGGCTTGTGTTTCCCTACAAGAAGCCAAGTTCCGACCACCCAAATTTGGGTCAACCGTACCGACTTCCGAGTTCCGGGACCCGGGAGTCGACAAATGAATATCTGATGTGACCAGCACACTTCCAATCAGGTAGTATTTCATTGAGCAATGGATAATAATACATCTTTGACAGCCAAAATTATCTCAGGCTCCCTTATCTGATCCTCTCTATCTCCACCCCCTTTAACACCAAAGTCCGGACATTCAGCATTCAGTGTCTGATTTCCCAAGATTAACATCCAGCATGAACGGTTCTTCCCCTTCCACTCCTGATAGTATAAACATCTGGCGCACTTGGGCCCTGACTGTGACTTATGAAGCAGGGGAATATACCGAACAGAAATTCAAGGCAGAGAAGACTGGAGGAGGCCCAGTCATACCTTCCCCCAACCTAGACACTGATCTGGTGATGGCGTGCGATCGCTTGGCTGATGTACTCATAAAGGCATATAAAAATCCCAGTGGGTCTTCCTGCAGATTCGGAAAATTCGTTTTATCATTCAAATTCCTGCATGACAGTTCAGATGCAGGTGGATATTGCAAGATATAGCAAATTGATCTCCCCGAAGGACACCGGGCATAATGAACAGAGAGAGGCTAGGTTGCTTGAGAGGTGTCCTCCTGGCCATGAAGGCAAAAGGTTGGTCGACGAACCTGCCACAATTCTCGATGCATCCGGTGCCATCATCGCATGGTACCTCCCAGACGCCCTGACCGACACCACCCAGGTGTGTAATATACATTGTTACTCAATGGATATTGAATATCAAATGGAACCTACAGAAGGAAATCAGGGAAGCCACCAATTTGCTCGCTCCAAGCCTCGAAAAAAGTGTAAGGGCTGATGGCAATTGGCGAACTAATCAAAAGTGGTTCAACCGGGGCTCGGAAGATGTTGGGGCAACTCCCGGATGCATCAATTTATCTCCGGCATGGTTTCAACAGGGACACGAGGTAGGATCTGATGAGATGGTGATTCCGGCAGTCATACTCACCAATCCCAAAGAATATGTCCGATCCGGAGGTATCTGCATCATTGAAGGGACCTTCCTGCGAGAATATCCTCAAAGCCATTTCAAGGCCAGCAGCCATCGCGTCCGCGGCACTCAGAGTCATGCATCCTGAGCAGTACTGGGCAGGGTTGCGAACCTTGTCAAACCTAGGACATATAGCAGTAAGCAAGGATCTGCCACAGATGCCGGAGGCCCTGCAGTACTGGGCATCGGTGTTTAACACCCTCTCCATCATTTCCAATCGGGAAACCCCAAATCATCGAGACCATTTGTCCATTGCTGAATGCTTCGACATTCTCACCACCGTGGGGAACTATTCTAATGCTCGGATGACAATGCCAAGCCTTCAGCTGGAGTTCAAGTACAATTCCGGCTGTATGATTGCGTTTTCCGGAAGGATTGTGAGACATGGAGTTTATGATGTGGAAGGGGATCGGATTGCTTGGGCATGGTATATGAGGGATTCTGTTCACATTTACGCTGGTGTTCCATCATGTGGATGGGCTAGTGTGGATGGTCCATACAGTGTGTGAAAGATCAAACAAAGAGCATGCATTGTGACCTATATACATTCCAACAAATGAATACCATGTACCAATAGTTATCTGGACCTCAATACTCAATTGTGAGCATTTGCGAAGTGATATATGGGACTGAATAATTTGGATGCGAGCCTCGGTATTCGATAATCGGAACTCGGGACTTGACATATGGGAGTCCCGAGTGCCGGGGTACTGAGTCCCGACACCCGGACCTCAGCACTTGATATTTGAGACTGGGGGAAGATGTATCAATATGCTCAAATTAACATTTGTTATTGCCGTACACATTTGACAAAACCCTGAACCCCGACATTGTGAACTCGGGACTCGACACTGTTCTGAATACCGAGTCCCGGAAGCCCAGGTCCCGAGTCCCGAATTTCGGAGTTCGGGGTTCGGCGACCCGGAGCTCGGCAACTGTGTTGGGTGTCAGGGTATCCGGAGCATTGGAGATAGCATGTGTCAGTATTTTGCATTTCATGGTTCATGTTTGGCTGACACATGCGATCTCCAATGTTCCGGATACCCTGACACCCAACACAGTTGCCGAGCTCCGGGTTGCCGAACCCCGAACTCCGAAATTCGGGACTCGGGACCTGGGTTTCGGGACTTGGGACTCGGAGCTCGTGACCTGGGACTCGACAGTGTTCTAAATACCGAGTCCCTGACGCCCGATTCTATAATCACGAAAGATTCCATAATCACGAAAGATGAACCATGAAACGCAGAATACTGACACATGCTATCTCCAATGCTCCGGATACCCTGACACCCAACACAGTTGCCGAGCTCCGGGTCACCGAGTCCCGAAGCCCGAGTCCCGAGTCCCGAATTTCGGAGTTCGGGGTTCGGTGACCCGGAGCTTGGCAACTGTGTTGGGTGTCAGGGTATCCGGAGCATTGGAGATAGCATGTGTCAGTATTCTGCGTTTCATGGTTCATCTTTCGTGATTATGGAATCTTTCGTGATTATAGAATCGGGCGTCAGGGACTCGGTATTCAGAACACTGTCGAGTCCCAGGTCACGAGCTCCGAGTCCCGAGTCCCGAAACCCAGGTCCCGAGTCCCGAATTTCGGAGTTCGGGGTTCGGTGACCCGGAGCTCGGCAACTGTGTTGGGTGTCAGGGTATCCGGAACATTGGAGATCGCATGTGTCAGCCAAACATGAACCATGAAACGCAAAATACTGACACATGCTATCTCCAATGCTCCGGATACCCTGACACCCAACACAGTTGCCAAGGTCCGGGTCACCGAACCCCGAACTCCGAAATTCGGGACTCGGGACTCGGGCTTCGGGACTCGGTGACCCGGAGCTCGGCAACTGTGTTGGGTGTCAGGGTATCCGGAGCATTGGAGATAGCATGTGTCAGTATTCTGCGTTTCATGGTTCATCTTTCGTGATTATGGAATCTTTCGTGATTATAGAATCGGGCGTCAGGGACTCGGTATTCAGAACACTGTCGAGTCCCAGGTCACGAGCTCCGAGTCCTGAGTCCCGAAACCCAGGTCCCGAGTCCCGAATTTCGGAGTTCGGGGTTCGGTGACCCGGAGCTCGGCAACTGTGTTGGGTGTCAGGGTATCCGGAGCATTGGAGATCGCATGTGTCAGCCAAACATGAACCATGAAACGCAAAATACTGACACATGCTATCTCCAATGCTCCGGATACCCTGACACCCAACACAGTTGCCGAGCTCCGGGTCACCGAACCCTGAACTCCGAAATTCGGGACTCGGGACCTGGGCTTCCGGGACTCGGGTGCAAGATTTTTGAATGCATAGAATATTTTACATCTTGTATACAATGAACACTGAATGGGACTACACTCCTTTGCCTTTCCTCAATTTCTCTAACATGTCAGTGTACATCTTCACCTCTGCCATCTTGGCTTTGATGCCCTCATCTTGCTCCTCCATCAATGCTTCCATGCGTTCTTTAATCCACCTCAGTCCCATAAGTGGTGGAGTCGAAGTGTTTCTCAACTTCTCTGGAAGAACCAAAGCATCATCCTCAACATTAAGCTAGAACAGATAAGTCATCAATCAAGGCAATTCAGCTAACATCTTACCGCCCAATACTGGTAGTGAGAGACGCAGGAAGCCATTATTTCATCCCACTGCCATGGTTGATCCGGGATTGTGGTGTTTCCCATCCACCATGGACATGTATATGCAAACACAATCCAGGACGGATGTCCTGCAATTGCCTCATCATCAAATGAAAGGAGGTGGAATGAAAAGACGTCGTCCGGAACCGTGTTCCAGGTTAGCATGGGATACAACTTAAGGATATAAGCGACAGGGACCGGAAGAACCGACACGATATTCTGTGAAGCTGAGTACTGCAGGAGTGGTGTGACAAAAGTCTGCTCAAATTCTTAGCATTGACCAACAAAGTCATCAGGGCAGTGGTAACATACATTCATCTCCCATTGCAGCCCGGCTTTAAAATACTTTATCCGGTCAGAAGATAGACCATTGTTGGCAGCTTCCGTCTGATATTGAGAGATGCATGCACGGACCCGCGATCCAGCCATTGCCAATGTGCAGGAAATAGTTCCCAAGGCTCAGCTTCAGGGGTCGGTAATGGCTTCCAGCATTCAGAGTGCCAGAAGTGGATGCAGGAGTTGCAGGCATGGCTAATACAGGACTATGGCGCTGGCAATGCAAGTGAAAGATGGTGAAGATGTGAAGATAAGAATCACTGATGGATGGATACGAAATTCAAACTCCGACATGGGCTGACCCAGACATTCCCGGGCCTCAATATGTATGTGGAAAAAGGGACTTCATGAGAAAAACAATGTTCATTCATCTCCAGCCTCTATCAACACGTTTTGTAGGTCTTGAAAAGCTGCCTGCGCATCCTGTGCGAGCAATGAATACATTCGCGATTGCCTTCCGGCATAGCATCCGTGACCCGGAAGGCGTTTCTCCAATGATTCCTGCATGTGGTCGCCCCATTGGGTTGCTTTCCACAAAAAGAACTTACATGTCCAATCCATCTCCAATTTGACCAATATCATTTCTTCCCTCCATCGATCTCGTAGTGCCTTTGCCCGCAGCCAATGGACTCGGTAACTTGGCATGGGTCCAGTCAGGTAACCGTGGGATATGACATGCAAGCAGGAACTCACATTCCTCATTCCACGATTGATCAGGACCCCCGAGGTCGACTTCACAGACCAAAACCAAGCCAAAGATTCATTTCGTTGACCTCGGGCATTTGGGTCGCCCACTGCAGTGCTGATTTTGAGTTGCTCGCGAAGCAGGGGTTTGTATTTCTGAAGCTGGTCTTGCCCCGGCTCAAGTTTCATCATTTGCTTCCTGGTCTTTGTATATATGCTGGCATGGAGGGAGACTGCCTGCTGCACCGACGTCACCTGGGACCAAGCTCGAGTTTTCAGGGCCTGGGATTTGGCCTGCCGAACGGTTGTTCGGAACAGGATGGCCTTGTTGCAAAGGTAAATGCGGAGATTGTGAAGGGCATCATTGGCCTGCCCTTCACGAAGAGACATCTCCAGGGGAATCAGATCCTCTGCCATGCATCGTCTGCATCTATCAACACCCAGGTTTGATGGCAACGGGATTACAGTGAGCTCGGGAGAGTTTGTCCATGTATGAGATGTCTCTGTGAAATCCGCCGGGTCATCATCGAGATCATCTAGAATGTCTACGTTCAAGTCCTCAGGTTCATCATCTGCATCAAATCCCTCCCCGAGATGTGTTAGAGCAGACCGAGCAAATCCATCTATCTGGCCTTGGAGCCGATCGCGTTGACGGGCAATGTCTAATCTCTGTGTCTCAGTGGATCTTCTTCCGATCCTTCGGACCTCGATGAGCAATGCAATCTGAGCCTCTTCAATTGCTAACCCTGTTGATATCCACGTCGCCACAGATCTGCGAGAGGGTGCTGCATTGCGGGCGTTACCCTCCTCTAATAATCTAAGCTCGATCTCCTTTTTGCTTGGTGCTGAGTGCAATATTAATTCCGACCTCAATGGAGACAATGGAACTCAACGTACCCTTTTTTATATTGATCTCATATTCATCCATCGCCGCAGGATCATTCAATCTGCTTGACTGAGCTATCCTCTCCCTGGCTAACCATTCTGTCTTCAAATGTGAGGGTGCTGCTTCATCGAGTCTGTCGAATGCCTTTCCACTTTCCGAGATGCCATTCCTCGCCAGCTTGTATTTCCGGCATAGAGTCCTTTTCATGCGAATCATCTTGCAGAAATTGGAGTCATTCATCTGATAATCAAGGCATTCCTTTCGGTGGGGAGATGACATTCCCCGAGCAGCAGGGGAAATCAGATTGAGCCGTGCCCATAGCGTCTCCATGATCTCTCCATCGATCCGACCAATGCCTTCAATAAAGTTAGAAGCATATCGGACATAGCAGCTGTCCTGATGGCCATGAATGTGCCACAACCTGTTACGGACTAGGATAGTTCGAGCTCTCCCTAGGCGGATTGCCTAATCTGATAGCGGGCTCGCTATTGGAGAGACGGGGATCTTCTCTCGAATGAGAGGTTCGGGGGTTCCACTTAAGGTAGCGTCGGCTTTCCTTAAGGTGCGGCTTAGACTGAGTGATTGGGATGATCACACAGAGGAAGTTCTGATGAAAACCTAGTAGAATCAAGTAGGGAATATACATGATTCTGTCTGCTCTATATACTGTCGTCCGTGTGCACAGACCAATACTACGTTCGGTAGGTAGCTGTAAGTGTGTCTATACAAGGGCATCTTATCTGATGCCATGTGGTCGATTATCTATACATGAGGCTTACCATGCCTCTCTTATCTGTCCTCAAGGCGTAGCATGCCTTTGAGTCTAACTGCGCATGCGAGGCATGCGGCTTCTTCTGACCATGAGGCAGAGCTTCCTCATGATCCGGGTCGAGGATCATCAAGGTCCGTCCAGATGTTGCCTAGGCTGGTCTAGGTCATCTAACGGCATCCAGGCCATTCTAGGCATCTCTACGAGTCTCCGTTGAGTCGGTAAGTCTTCCAAGACGGTGCATATGGTGGGATAGGGGCTAAGGTCATGATGACCTCCGTAGGAGGGGTTCTCGGTTACATGTTATTGTAACACAACCCAATTCCGGGAATGATGGTTAGTTGTGGTGCCATGTCTAGAAATCGACTTCGATCCACCCGAACCCGAAAGTGTTTGTTGTATTGACAATTAATATCATAGAAGGTGACAGCCTGGTGATGCCTTCCATGTTGTGCCGGGAAGCCTCGCAAAGGGCGTAGTCCATGTTCATTTGTCTGCAAGTGACCCATGGTTAACTCGTGAATGAGGAATGGTGGATGTGGCTTGCCTTTCGCCTTTCTGAAAATCCACCATGGAGTGAGGGACAAAGCAACCGTGTCTGGCACAGGCAACTCCCCCGATACGGTGGACTCCAGCTTGTGCCGAGCAGCATTAGCTTGATTTACTGCCCGGTGGTTGTTGCAGCTTGATTTTTCCACCATGTCAGCAGCCTCTGCCAGATGCATTTTATACCTGTCCTTTCCTACCATGAATCCAAGCCCATCGGAAAGCCAAACTTCATC